GACATGTTTTGCAGTTCAGTGACGTCGTGTGGACACGTTTGGGGGAAAGGACACGTTTCTGAGTGTTACATATATACCAGGGCTCATACTACTTCAGAATCATAGGGAGAAGTGACTTCTCTTTTTGAAACTGAGAGGGAGAAGTGGTGAGATTTGAAAGAGAAGTGCTCGTTCACTCGCGGCGCTACAATGTTTGGTTTTTACTATAATACAAAGAGCCATCTGTATCTTATTTTTTGTTATATTGTTCAATTTGTACCTGGGTATACAATTAAAGTAACAGTTCAAATTCAAAGTTGTTTAATTTTATCATATTTAGTTGCACAATCATATTAGTCCTCATGTCAGAAAAATCAATTAATATCTGGCAATAATAAAAAAGATTTTTTTGTATATCAAAAAGGAAAAGGAAGTTGTTATATCAATTAAAATTCAATTAAAAACTACTCTGTTATCATGTTTATTCAATTAAGTATTTCTCATTAAATAGATATTTAAATTTAACAGTTTTATTTAACACAGTTAAGCTTGGACATAATATAATTATACATGTATTAGTGTTATAGTCCCAGAGTTGAGCAACTCATAATTTATAAATTGAAACAATGCATATACATGGAAATATATACATTAATCAAAAAGATCTAACCAAAAGTATGTTAATGCTTGTGGAATGCGCAATTTTTCCTTTTGGGATCAATTTTCTTCTGTCAGCTGTGCCATTCATGCGTCTGTAGTCATTATCGCAAGAATCCGGATTTCGGTCATAGCTGGTCCGTTTCCAAAGAAATCCCGACTCGGATCCGTAGTTGAACAATAATAATTTGCCCTAAAATTTAAATGGCGGACGAAGAAAAATTTACAAAAATAAACGATGTTTGACATGCTATTTGGAAGGGAATATGACGTTTTTAATGCAATATAAGGATAACCAATTTACTTCAGGCAAATTTCATCACGTTCTAATGAAGTAACAAGCTTATTTTGCCGAAAGTTAGAATGATTTGATATACGCTCTCAGTAACAACTGGGAACAGTATATCTAACGGGAAATGAATCTGATAGGCTTTTCAGTATAAAATTGATAAAATCTCGGACTCCACGAGACTTCGCGAGATTTATGGATTTTGGTGGCGTCTGATTGAAAAACTATCGGAACTGCTCAATAAATTAACCATCTAATCGTAAATAAATACAAGTTTTATCATAAAGTAGATATATTTTGTCATATAAAATGACCAAAATAAGTGTGATTTATTTGATGTGAAATGTTTTTGAATTTGGGAATGCAATCGGCGCCATTTTTGTATTACCCTGTTTCCTTCTGTATCATTTTGTGATAAAATGAATGCGATTTTAACAAATTTGAAGTGACAGAATACAAGTTTGATACACTGGCATCACTGCAAAACTAAATTGAATTATATTTTATTGATATTATCAGAAATTATTAGGATAATAGCGAGTACGTTTTTAACACATGTCCGTTTCCGTATCGTATCTTTATATCCTATGACCCGACGATAAAATCGGCTACAATTTGGTAGTGTCAAGTCCCATCAATATATATGTTCCTGGTAACAAGTACCGGAAGTCATATAAAAAATTGTCTTTATGAAAATAACATGCAACCAACTTTAAAATCAATGCTTTAACCTCTTTTCTAAAGAAAATAAATCGTTTATGTCTTTGAATTTCTTTACTTTCAAATGAAAAATTGCTGTTTCATCGACTTGGTAAATGTTGAATATTGCCGATGATGAAAGCGACTGAAAGCGAGTTTTGTGAACAACAGGGCGACTAGATTTTGCTTTTGACGGTCGGGCAAAGCGAAGTGACAGACAGGAAAGCGACTTTGTCGTCCCAGTCACCTGCTAGCGTGAGCCCTGCATACATGATATATATTATCGTAAACATATCCTTCATAATAAAAAAACTGTTTTTCTTGAACAAATAATTATTTTCTTCTATCTATGTATAATAAAATAATGAAAATACACATATATACATATTTTTACACTAGTCATTTTTGGGGCCCTTTATAGCTTGCTGTTCTGTGTGAGCCAAGGCTCGCTCCGTGTTGAATGCCTTACTTTGACCTATAATGGTTTACTTTTACAAATTGTGCCTTGGATGGAGAGTTGTCTCATTGGCACTCATACCGCATCTTCTTATATCTATGATATATATTAAAAAAAAAAAAAAAAACACACTTTAATGTTTCTATAATTATTTATTTGAAAGAATTACTATTAATATTTTTACCATTACAATAAGAAAATCAATAAAATATAAAAAAAATATATAATAATGAACTCAAAATCGTTAACTTTTTATTTTCTAACTTTTTTATTTTCCCGCATTTGCTCAGAAATCTTTTTCTATCTTCCCGTCTCATTTGTCAAGCGACTTTGAGTTAAATATAGGAAAGAGCAAGTTATTGTTTCCCGCAAATTTGTTGTTTTTGATTACCGAAAGAATACTGCCAGTTAAACAATTTGTGGTTTTAAAGATATAATTTATAACAATTTTATTTTAATAATTCTTTTTAATTTACTTTGTTTACATTGAAAAAACGTCAAAACTATAATCCCTAACAACAGGACCAACTTCGGAAACGTTTCCTTATTTCCGTTTCTTAAACAGTAATTGATACGTAGTTCGTCCACTTTCACAGGTAACACCTGCCTTATATTATTTCTTGACGCTTTGCTTTCTTGTCACTAAATTATTCTTCTTGTCGCTAATTAGTGAGACCCATAAAGCAGTATTATACCATATAAAATCAAGTTTTTGGTTAATATCTATCAGTTCTCAGGTTCATAATGAGTTTTTTGGGAGTCCTCGGAAAATCATTGAACCCAATTTGACTTGTTCCCTAAGCATGCTAAGGTGCAGGGGGTGGGGAGTGTAGGTATTGGGTCCATTCGCTCCCAACAAACCTTCGCACCCTACACGTTTGTACCCCACACGTTCGCATCCTAGGCTATTCTTATTTAGATACTGTTTTTTTTTTGATGTATTTATCAAAATATTAAAACTTTTATGAATAAAAATTCAGGATTTTCAAATGAAATATTTTATTTGGTGATTTGATAATTAAGTACAGGTCCATGTAAGAATCAGGCAAACAGTGATAAGCCCATGTTGGCAAATTGATCAAATAACATATTCTAGATGTGAACATACCTTATTAGAATTTGAAAATGAAATCCTTTTTAAAAAAAAAAAAAATTTGTGTTAAAAAAAATCATTTTAAAATTTCCCCTTGAAGGCCCCTGAAAATGAGCAAGGAAAACTACAAAAAGGCACGTTTTTAAAGTAATTTATCTTGCTTTAATCATCTAATTTTTGTTGCTAGAATATATTTTATATAGAGTTCATATGTATAGTGATATGAAAACAGATTGAAAATTGATTTCAAATATTTTCTTCCCTAGCAACCGTAACCATGGAAATGTGATCAAAAAGCATTTTCGAAAAATGCAAATTTCATCTAATTTCATTTAATTTTTTTTAGAAACAGCAACAGTATACACACTTTTATTATATATTTCCTTTTAGTAGAAGCCCTATAGAATAAATCTAAACAAAAAAAAGTTCGGAAATATTTTGCTGCTGTAGGTGGCAGCACCATCAAAATCATCAATTTTTAAGTTTTTTTTTATGTTATTTATGATTTTTACGCCCCATGTTGATCCAATTTAAGTGAAATATTCACTAATGTCGTACCAATTCCTATACATATGATATACCAGGGTTTAAAGGGTTAATTTTCTTCATTTTGAGTGGAACAATATATAGCGTGTTCATGTATGATTGGGGAGGAGGGTTGCTTAAACTATTTCCAAGGGGAAAAAATGTTATGATTTGCATTAGTAATGAGCCAAAGTCCACAAGAAATTGTGTTGTTACCTTGCAAGCTTCAATTGGATCTGAATTGAAATAAATGAAGGATATGATTTCTAAAAACCAAATAATTTTCTCAATATACTGATCCACATCTCACAAGCCACTTTAATGAAGAAATTTCAGCCAATGATTACTATGTTTTGTGTCTCCCACACTGATTTTTATGGTATTTATAGATGTGATAAACAGATACTCCTACAAAATGTTTGTTCAGTGGTACAATCAGTAAAATAAAGAAACAGATGTCCATGGCACAAAGGTGCCCCCCTCCCCCTTTTTCCCCTTCCCCAATATGTAACTATGCAAAAGTCAATGTTCTTGTATTAAGCATTTTTTCCCTTTTGAACAGGACATATCTAGTGAAATTACATGTATAAAGTGACACCACCCTTATTCGTATATCGATAATATTGAACTTAAATTCAATGTTTACCTCAGAGTCAATTGGAGATCATGGAAGTGAAGAATAAAAAGAAAAATAGATAATAAGTTGTTCAAATGTTTAATTGTCCAAAAAAAAAATTAATTATATGGTATAAGAAAAATCATTTTAACATATTTTAATAATGCTTAGTTTTCATTGTTCAAATATGTATCATAAGCTTCTATTCAAAAGAGTGATTGCTTAGTACTTTAATAATTTGTGACAAATGTTTTTATGTTCGTTTAATATACTGTTTTGAACAAGAATGTGTCCATAGTACACCGATACCCCACTCACACTATCATTTTCTATGCTCAGTGTACTGCGAAATTGGGGTCAATACTTTAATTTGGCAATAACATTAGTAAGATCATACCATAGGGAACATGTGTACTAAGTTACAATTTTTTAGGCCTTACAATTCATCAAAAACTACCTACAATTCATCAAAAACTACTTTGACCAAAAACTTTACTTGAAGCAGGACAGACAGACAGAAAAACGAACGGACAAACAAACCAATGCACAATGTTAAAAAAAAAAATAACAAAAATTACAATTCATTACTGTTACAGTGCAGTTGATCTCATATTAGGGTAAATATTTCAATTCTACAGGTTCAGAGAAAAATTTAACAAAAAATGTTTGTTTAAAAAATGGACAAATTGAAGGACAATTTGATTGTAATTTAGCCCAAACTTTTTAATATGTTTTAAAGTTTTTCAAGCCATTAAGGATGTACTTTGGTGAAATTAAAAAAAATCAAGAATTTAAAATTGATACTATTCGTTCGGGAAAGTATTAGTTAAGAAACAAAATAAGCAAAAATATTAATGGGTTATGGAGCTCCTTTTCAAAATATTTGGATTTTTAAAAATTGCTGGAAAGGCGGACTGGGATTAGGAATGTGTCAAAGAGACAACAATCCGACCAAAGAATACACAACAGCCGAAGTCCACCATATTTTGGTAACTGACATTTAACATGTTTAATGAGCTATTGAAATCTTATTTGAAAAGAAAAATAGGTGTTGTGGGGCAAAATATTTGACATCTGACACTAATTCCTAGACCTTATTCAAGTACATCCTAAAAGACACTAAATGTCATTCAGCTTCTCCACAAATTTTCTTGATCCAAAACCGGTTTTAATAACATGAATAAGTAAATTGCTTAACCAATACACAATATGATGACTTATAAGACATGCACACAAAAAAAAATAATCTGCTAAAATAAGCTTAAGATGTGTTTTTTTATTTTTTTTTTAGATATCACTTATAAGTAATAATTACTGTTAAAAGAAATTTTGCACCATACAAAAAAATCCTAGTTCTTGGTACAAATGGATATGTTTTTTAAATATTTATAAAATTTATGCCAAAATTGTATATTAGTTAGACTAAAAATTTAAATGTTACCCATTATTCAAAATTATATGACACTGTACATGTAGCCAAACAACAATAACAGGTATAGAATAATAAAAGAGTAAATAGTTATTGAATATTAGCGATAACAGTTTCCTCATCAATGGCAATTAGAGCTGCAAGAAGATCTTCATCATCAAGTTCAGTCTTCACTAAAGGATTAGGGGTTCCTTTACTACATAACCTTGAAAAGTAAGAGGTTATCTGACTGGCATTAAGCCAATGATTAATTGGAAACATTTTTTCCCCATTTGAGTTTTTCATCTTTTTCATTTCTTCTGCAACAGAGGTTGGGTTACACTTTTTTCCTGTTCTATTTCCTTCTTCAAATTTGGCCAATAGAAAGTTTTTAACAGATTCAGGAAATCTTGATATTCTCCTGCCTTTCTTTAAAGCCCATCCCATATTACTTGTGGAAAATTCTTTTTCAGTCCCATCTGTTAATGTTGATTTATTTTTGGTTGTAAAGACCACTTCATTGCACAACTGTGCCCACTGGTGTCTGATTTTATCATAGGTTGTTTCCCGTTGCAATTGTAAAAAATGCTTTCCTATCAGTAGATGGTTTTCAAGTCCATTTAAGGTAGCAAATCTTTTGACACAGCCAACTACTGTGCAATAGAACAGCATTTGATCAGAACTTTCTGAATGACAAGAGGATAATCTTGATAAGTCTTCATCATTTTCTATTTCTGTTTCTGGTCCTTCAAGGAGATTAACTGTAGGAACTGTTTTATGTGTTTTGATTTTTCCAGTTATATTAACAGGTAAATCGAATCCTGATATTACCACACATCCTGATTCATTTTCCTGCTGTTTACCAAAACCCATTTGGTCTAAGGATGCATTAGGAATAAATTTTCCTTTGCCGATGTTGTAGGCTTTCCTTAGTAGTATACCATCTTCTTCAACTTGCAACTCATTAAAATCATTTATTCCTTTCAACTTGTGTGTTATCAGTTTGTGTTTTGAGGTGTCTATTACACATTCAGAGACTTGACATCCAGCAACACCTGTGAAAAGAAACAATAATGAGGGGAATTATAAACTAATTCAAAGGTCATGTTTTCAACTTCAACAAAATGTGTGTACATTATTCGATATGATCTTTTGATGAAAAAAAAGCAATTTTAAAAAAAGTAAAAAAAGTAGTTACATATTTGTTTTTCGCTCATTTTTAATACATAAATTAGGCCGTTAGTTTTCTCGTTTGAATTGTTTTACATTGTCATTTTTTGGCCTTTTATAGCTGACTATGCGGTATGGGCTTTGCTCATTGTTGAAGGCCTTATGGTGACCTAAAGTTGTTAATTTCTGTGTCATTTTGGTATCTTCTGGAGAGTTGTCTAATTGGCAATCATACCACATCTTCTTTTTATATATTATAAGGAAATTATGAACTAAATTTCCAGCTAATCTGACTAAAACTTTCTACTATGACCAAAAACTTTAACCTGAAAAAAAACCTGTTTTCACGTTAATTAAATTTCTATAATCAGATAATATGCTTCTAATTTGGCATATAATTTGAAAATATCCCACCATCAAGATCATTTGTACTAAGTTTCAAGCTGATGTGACTAAAAACTTCAATCAAACTAACTTTGACCAAATAAGAAACAGACAGACAAACGGTCAAGCAGATGGACACACAGACCAGAAAAAATTAAGTCAATATAATATCATACATGGGGCTTCAAACAACATGCCATAGATCATTTTAACCAATGCTTTAAAAATTTTCTATTTAATATGGGTGATTTTACATGCGTATGTGAGCCTCAGCCTTTTGTTGTTATTTCATGAAGACACTGTTTTTTTAATATAGTCAAGTCTAACATTTTGACATTATCATGTCAGATTTATTTGTGAAATGAAATTTACTTCTGAGAAACAAACTGTCTCTGAAATTGTGTATTGAACCGGATTTGCTTATCTTAACAGGGCACATTTAGTTCACAGTGGGTTTGTGTTGTAATTATGTTTTCTGTTTGAACAATGTACATTTTGTTAATTTACCTGTTCCAGAGTCAAGTGCAGTTTTCATATCAGCTGCTGTTACGATGTTTTTTCCACTTGCAACCCAACTTTTCATCTTTGTGCGCATATGTGCTATCTTTGAATCACAATATGACTTTCCTGCTTGGGCCTCAGAATAGCAATATCCCTGAATATTGATCCCTATGAAATAAAAGATATTCATTACTTTGCCATAAATTCTGAAGTCTCTTCAATTAAAATATACACAAAATAACTGATTTTTATGTTAAGTATTGTGTATAAGTTTCATTACATTAGATTGAGGAAAACTACAGCAAGAGAACGAAAATTAAAAATTTAGCAATTTTACCATTTGTAAAGGGGCATAACTCTAGAATGGCTAAAGTGACGCCACCAAAATTCAAACTTGATTGTGTTTTGTGGTAATAAGCATTGTGTTTAAGTTTAATTACATTTGGTTAAGGCAAACTAAAGTTAGAGAACGGACGTACAGTGGTTGTCGTTTGTTTATGTGTTACATATTTGTTTTTCGTTCATTTTTTGTACATAAATTAGGCAGCTAGTTTTCTCATGTGAATTGTTTTACATTATCATTTTGAGGCCTTTTATAGCTGATTATGAGGTGTGGGCTTTACTCATTGTTGAAGGCCGTACAGTGACCTATAGTTGTTAATTTATGTGTCATACCACATCTTCTTTTTTATATAGACAAGGGTAAAACTTTAAGCTCCCTCTGCTATGGCAGGGGACATACAATCAGTTTATGAAACATGTCTAAATAAATAGAATAAGGGCAATAACTCTTCATGTGTTGTCTGATTCATCAGAAAATTTCTTGTTGGATAGCTTTTGTTATGGTGAACAATTTTACTACTTTAGTTTTTCCATAACTATAATTATGTTATTTTTTAGATATAGATTGAATGTTATCCCTAGGTTGTTTTTTTCCAAAGCAATGTCTCAAGGTGCTTATTAAAAATAAAGATTTAGATGAACATTACACTAGTGCCACTAATACTGATATTGTTTTCTCCTATTCTCCTTTTATCTTAGCCCAAATTATTTTGTAATATGTTACCTGTTCTTTTACTTATTTCTTGTAAGCATAACCAGATATGTCCACAGTGGTAGCATGCTGCATTATCTGATCGCAGAACTAACTTCTTAGTTTGAGGGAGTTGATCTTTGATGGTCATTATAACATTTTCAAGAAGTGAAGCCACACAAAACCAATCCTGTTTCACAGATTCTAAAACATGGGTGAAAGTTCTATGCTGAAAAAGAAATGCACAAGACTTAGTGTATACATACAATTTTTATAAATTTGGATACTGAATTCATTTAAAATAAAAGACTACTTATATATTCATTTCATAAGAATCTATTTCATGTATTTCATTAGAATCTTAAACGAACACTGAATAATTTTATTTCTACACTATTTTCACGTTTCACAATTGGTGAGAGACATATATTTCTTAACACTAATGAAAAATTAGTTCTTAGCAAATAATTGGTTAAAATTTTATCATGATTGATGTCAAATTTTCATGTCAACAATTTTTTCAAACTTTTTAAAATTGAGCTAATTCTGACATGTAATATTGTTTATATTTGTTGGTTGTTTCAAAATAAAAAGCATATGATTGATATGCATGAAAATTTATAAAATACTTCCTTTTCGGTAATTACAGAGTGCATTGGCAATACATGTGTATGCATGAACAATTTGTACATGTCAATAAACAAACGATTTTTTTTTACATGTGTGACATAGCATGTAAAATGTATATATCAAGCCACATCTGTAAAATGCATCAATGTATTTTAACCTTGTATTACATACATGTACATATGCACTTACATTAATTGATCCATCTTTTTCTCTGTATATACAAACAATCACATGCCAGTTCTTCCCTCTTTGACCAAACCAGTCAGTTTGTTTCTCACGATATTTCAAGGGTAAAAATTTCATGGCCCAATCCATAACCAGTAAAGCTTTATCTGTTTCAAGATGTTCTATGGTATCCAATCTAAATTGGTCTTGGTTGACAGTTCTTACAATGTGTGATTTCCAATCAAATATCACCATCATTGCATCTTCGATCACTTTTGAAAATTCTTCTTTGTCATCTCCATCATTCATGGTATCAACAATGTTGCACAATTTAAGATGAACATCTTTCAATAGTTGACATCTATCACATTGCAAGCAATGAATGTGATCACAAGTGTTTTGAAAATGTACATCCTTTGGATCACTTAAACTCCAGTTTATACAGTGATCTGCACACATATTTGATTGGTTGATATGAAGTTTAAAGTCGGTCTTAAGATAAATACGGGATGCGGTTAAAGTTGTGGTCAATTCAGTGTGAATATCGGAAGAAATAAAAGATTTTTTTTTCAAATTGTTGACAAATTCATGAAGTGATTGAAAAGCTTCAACACCTTCAGCTGCTATATTATCAAGGCCATGAAGATTGGTTCTTTGTGAGGCTGCACAAGCTGTGAGAATTTTGAAAAGTGAGCTATTTCCAAGGGGTTCAAAGTTGAGATCTTTACAGTAAGAAAAATACATTTGCACAATTTGTGAATGACAAGATGTTCTCACAACGTCTGGAATTGTCACTTTTTCTCCAGTGTCAAATGACAATTCTCTGGTACCATATGACACTATCTGTACGAATGATGGATCGAAAAAAAAGTTTAAAGCATGTTGCATTTTCTCCTGATCCATACGCTCTCTAGGTCTCCTTACTTTTTCTTCAATAACCAAACCAGACCCAGATTTTGATAGCAGTCTTGCTTGGTCTATTTTATATTTTGTTATGTCAGGCAGACGCTGCATAATTTCACCTTTTGTCATTTTTTGGGAAACAATTGATAGAATTTGTGTTTGAAGTTTGTTGTCTGCTGTTTCTTCATACAGTTTAAAAATGGTATCAGTGAGCTCATCATCTGTTGGAGGCTTTGTTGGTTCTGACATTATAAGTTTTTTTAACTCCTTTGATTGCCCTGGAGCAATAATGTTAAGTACAGAATCTACAGATTCATCTGCTTTATGCTTATAATAGCGAATGGTACTGTCCTTCAGGGAAGATATATCAGAAAGTAACTGTCCTCTTAACGGACTTGATTTACAATTTAGTATTTTCAATGTTGCATTTGCTTGGTCCAAAGTGGTTTCCATTTCATCACTCCAATTAGATATTTGGGACAAAGGCTGCGATAAAGACTGGGACTGCTGTGTCACATCAGAGTACTGAAATGATAAATGACCTTTTAAATTATAGTAATTTATGTAAAATCTAAATACATTCCAATAAACAGGTGTATATAAATGTAACAAAAAATTAAAATAAGAGTTCATTTTCACCTACATCAAATGTTCATTCAAATGGTTTTAACTTTTAACCATGCCCTTGGGAAAATATAAATTTCATTGATGAACAATAAAATTGAGAATGGAAATTGGATATGTGTCAAAGAGACTACAACCCAACCAAAGAGGGGAAAAGCAGCCAAAGGCCACCAATGGGTTTCAACACAGCGAGAAAATCCCACACCTGGAGGCGTGCTTCAGCTGTCCCCTAAACAAAAATGTGTACTAGTTTAGTGATAATGGACGTCATACTAAACTCCAAAATATATAAAGGAAACTAAAATTATACAAGACTAACAAAGGCCAGAAGCTCCTGACTAGGTACAGGTGCAAAAATTTGGTGAGATTAAACAGGTTTTTTTAGATCTCAACCCTCAAATCGTCATATTTCCCATTTATAAACAAAGGCATATCAAGATATGCTGTAGTTTCATAAATTAAAATTTTTTAAATATTGTGATGTTACACTATTGTTTCAGATAAGGGTGAAGGTTTGGTACCATTAAAACGTTTAAACCCACTGCAATTGTTTGCACCTGTCCTAAGTCAGGAATCTGATGTTCAGTAGTTTGTTGATGTGGTTCAAAAGTGTTTCTCCTTTTTTATATAGATTAGACCGTTGGTTTTCCCTTTTGAATGGTTTTACAGTAGTAATTTTTGGGGCCCTTTATAACTGCTGTTTGAAGTGAGCCAAGGCTCCGTGTTGGAGACCATACTTTGACCTATAATGGTTTACTTTTATAAATTGTGACATGGATGAAGAGTAGTCTCATTGGCATTCATACCCCATCTTCTTATATCTATGAATAAAATAATGTGCAATAAAAGTTGCTGCAAGAAATATGGTCAAAGTTCCACAACTCATGAAAAGGATAAAATTAAACTAGAACTAGTACTGTGAGTTAACTCACTAAAACATATACCGGTAAACATCAGTTTAATTAGGTCTACAAATAATTGCACACAATCATACAATGGTTTCTTTTTAAAAAAGCTGTCTCGGAGGACTAGCTCCAATAATATTTGAATACTCTTTGATAGTAACTGCAGCCACTTTTTTCTCTATAAATTAATGAAGTACTACTCACGTTATCATCAAATTGCTGGATAGGACGTTCTCTCAATTTGTATCCAGATGCATATGTACTTTCTTCTGTATCAACTTGATCAAAGCACTGAAAAATAAACACAAACGTTTGAAATCTATGGAATATCATTACAACAGCATGAATTAATACATTCCATACATGTATACATTACTGAGTGACAAGAAATATAATATACATTTTATATACCAGTCATGTGCATAAAAAATGAATGAAAAATGTAATTTCCCTGTTAGTTCACAAGGTAACAGTGGACAGGAAGCCATGTGACCCTTTAGATACCCGGAAGCATTATTTTTACTGAAATTGTTCTCACTACTTAGATATATGTAGTATGTGGTAAAAGTAGAAGCAGCACAAATTTCAAAGTCTTCGGTTTGACCCCTTTATTGAAACCTCAACCTTTGGTTCTCATGGTGAACAAGACGGTTTTAAAATTCAAAAGGAAATGACTATTGAAATTGCTATAATGAATAAAACTAGGAGTATGACGACAAAAAATCATCCAATGTACTGTCAAATTGTGCTGTAAACGGTCAGATCTGCATAACATCATAAATCAGAATTTTTTTTCAAATACCATACCTCATTATAACATTCTGGCGTATTAGGAATTAGGTCTTTACACTTTATCTTACATCCATTACAAATTCCTGAAAATATATATAATTATTTTTAATGAAAGAAAAATCCTGTGGGATAATGATCCAAATTATAAATAACACCCTGCCCTTGCAAAGTCAGAATATATCAATTAAAGTGTGCATTTGATTACATTCAGCATGCTCAGAAAGTAAAATTATACATTTACATAAATATAATGCCCCCTCTACTATTTTTATATACATTGGTGTACTGGGCATTGAACCATAACTAGAATTTAGTTTCAATGCGCTGTTTTTGCTAAGGGACACCATTAAAAGACAAAAGTTCAATATAGGATAAAAAACTTAATTCACATAGTTTTTTCACTGACACCTCCCCCCCCCCCCCCCCCTTAACTGAATTTGGGAAAAATTGATAGACCATTATGGATATATGTAAAAGTTATGTTGGATAAACAAATTTGCAGCAATTTTTACCCCCCCCCCCCCCAAAAAAAAAAAACTATTTGATTTAAGTTTTTTATCCTTCATTGATTTTTTAATGTTGTCCCTAAGACATCAGTTAAAAGATTTTACATTGCACTAAAGTGCAAATATGTGGATTTTCTTCATGACCAGCAATTTAGATATCTTTGCAATAATAAATAATGTTTTACCTGAACCTACAGGTTGAAGACATCCAAACTTGTTAAGGATAGTTTTGCTCATTAATGGAGTCACTCCTTTTTGTGGCTGCTGATTTCCTTTATGCAACGGGAAGATACACTTTTTACTTGGTTTCCAATTTATTCCTAGACTGTATCTGTGGTATGGACAAACAGTCATTTCTTGGTCGAACCTTGAAAAAAAGAATGATTTTATTTTTTGAACTGCTTTTATTTAGGGATGCAAACGAGTACTCGTGTATCACTCGGTTGTACTGAGTATCAATACCAAAATGATACTTGACTAATAGGTCTCCTGTTAGAAGGTTGTAGTTTTCTTAAGCTTAAACAAAAAATATTTTTATTAAGAGGGCCTCCCGGGAAATTTAATATAAGTTTGGTAAAATTTGTCTCAGTAGTTTCAGAGCAGAAGACTTTTGTCAAAGATAATGAAACGAAAACGGATGACGGACGCAAAATGATGAGAAACGATCACTTAGCTCTTTGGGCAAGGTGAGCTATAAATAAGTAGTTTTTGAAAATTAATTTGGAGTTTATTGCAGATTGGGGGCTGACAGACATTGAAAGTTGCTTTAACTTTCATAATGGGATATTGCAGAATGGAATTGTACAGTATGCAATACAGACGTGCAAATTGCTGCATCACTCGTTTGTGATGGCTGCTTAGATTATGGTTTCACCAAAATGCGTCAGACTATAACATGCCGCTCCCAAAACAACATACTGTACATTGTATATAAAAAAATAAAAATTGTATGCAATATTGTAAAATATAAATAGAAGTTTTAAAGTTTAATTTTAATATATACATGTATAGTCCAAGCTGGCAGCATACATTTGGAAGTGCAAAAATGTAAGATCATGTAACAATAACGCAATGTAACCGTAGACTCAATTATTACTGTTACATTTCCATGTAACCGTAGCCAGTGCCAATTGGGAATGGTGTATGAGCGAAACGACAAAAGGGTGAATGGTTTCATGGCCTAAAAGTCTCAAGAGCACCACAAGTTGTTGCATAAATTAAATACATTTTGTACATGTACATGTAATCATTTGCACTTTGTAATATTTTACAAAAAAATATATCAAATGAATTGCACAGTAAATCTTAAAATGTTTATAACCCATTGGGGAAATTTGTCCCAAGCTAGAGCTTTAACCCTCTTGCTGCCAGAAAATACGACAGCTCAACGTCAGTGATGTCTAACAAAATTTGATATATGACGTCACGCCAAAATGACCGTTACATTTAGGAATCATTGAAGAAAACTATAACTATGTTTAATCTCTTGTCTTTTATTTGAAAATGATACAACAATGAGAAGACGCTTGCATAATTTTAAACATGGACATATGTTTCAGAAAAAGGGAGAAGGTTTGGTACCATTAAGACGTTTAATCCCGCTGCAAATGTTTGCACCTGTCCTAAGTCAGGAATCTGATGTACAGTAGTTGTCGTTTGTTTATGTAATTTATATGTGTTTCTCGTTTTTTTATATAGATTAGACCGTTGGTTTTCCCGTTTGAATGGTTTTACACTAGTAATTTTGGGGTCCTTTATACATTGTAGCTTGTTGTTCGGTGTGAGCCAAGGCTCGGTGTTGAAGGCCGTACATTGACCTATAATGGTTTACTTTTATAATTGTTTTTTTGATGGAGAGTTGTCTCATTGGCACTCATACCACATCTTCCTATATCTATACATGTGCCCCTCCGTCAGTCGGTATGGACACGTGAGTTTCGGGTTTGTGTTCAGATTTTTTCTTTCTTCGTTTTTTTTAAGCAGGATAGGGTAAATATTACTATCTACACTGTTCCTAATGATTTGAGGAGATACCATTTGATTTTTATTAGGGGGGGGGGGGGGGGGTGGGGGCGGTAGGATGACATTTGAAAAAAAGGCAGGACAGAAGTTTTGATTATAAACAAAAATCAGGATGTGCAACCTGTCAAATAAAAAGGCAGGGTGACAACTTATGTAAAAAAAAAAGAAAGGATAAACTAATTAAAAAATGGCACGACCAAATAAACATGATAGAGTGAAAAATTAAAAGGCAAGACAGAGATAACAAAAAAAAAAATATGCAGGACAAAATTTTTCATCCTAGCACCACCCCCAACCCCTAAACAATCAAATGATAGTTCCCTAAACAGCTTGATGGATGGGTGTGCTGCATATTTACCAATAAGACTCAAGTTAAGAACCCAAGTGACTGTGGTTTGTCCGATGGGACTGGGAGGCATAACAAAATACACCTTATGTCATGAATATATCGTCATATGTCATGAATGATGATGTTTATCATGGATGTTATTACTTATTCTATCTTTGTTGGTATTAGCGGTATTACTTATTTTGAAAACAGAGTGTGGGGACAGAGTCAGCATATTCATTTACCTGAAAATACCACATCTCAGTGCTATCAACTCTCCTTCACTGCCAACGGCTGGTTCATGTATAGTTTGGTGACCTCCACACAGTCTAAGATCTTGCAAATGCCGCGTTATGTCTTTGTCACATTCCGCCAGCTTTCTTACACTTTTATCCTGTTTATATACAGGATAATACCCGCATGTGTGGGTTGAAAACAGACTAAGGCTGCACTTCATGTCGGGCGGGACCGACTCGTCTGCCATTTGTTATTGTTGTTGTGCAGACTACGCGCCTTTTTTGAAAAGAGGTAACCAAGCAAGGGAGATAAACAACACGGTGAATGACGCGTTTCAATTATTTTACTTTAGTGAATAACATTTTTCAAATAAAAATTTCCAAACTTTTTATTCATTAAAAGAGAAGATATGTATCAAATGATTTCAAATATAAAAAAATATGTGTGCTAAGCATCTGCTGTTTACAGAAAATCAATATCGAAGTTGACCTACTTTCAATGCGTTACACTGTTGTCTATGCAGACGGCGAATGCATTTTATCTATTTTTTTCTAGACAAATATGGCATACATTGATGTAATACTATGGTTTTGTCACCTTTATTAATGGATTACAAAGTTCCCAAAATTTCACCATATTCCGTGTATATGGACTTATCAGTTTTTATTTGATTTGCCTGATTCTTACACGGACCTGTACTTAATTATTAAATGTTGATTATGTATGATTACTGTTATTTGGTATTTACAAAGCCACATTTGGTATTATTGTTCTGTGTTTTAAAATCATGATTGTTGTTATAACTAGATGTTAATACTGCAAGTAGCTAGCTTGGTATGAGTACACTCAATGAAGAATTGGTATCTTCCGCCTTTCTTTTATAGTTTTAGATGAATGAACTTTGTTTTGATTATCACTTGGACACCATAATAATATAATATATTGTATAATAGTCCAAGATCATCATGACAATTTTTTAATCATGATTCATTTCGTCAACATAATTAATAAAACACTAAAGGAAACCTGTTTACGTTTTTATAATGTCACTTTATTCTGAAACAATAAAAAATACTTATTTTATTTATAGCCAATATAGGAATGCACTAACATGACTAACTTAAACACGATTAAATATTTATTCCACACAAAACCCAATAAAAAGGGTGCGAACGTGTGGGGTGCGAACGTGAAAGGGGGCGAACATGAATGGGAGCGAACGTGATTTTGGGCGTGCGGACCTGGATTTGGAGGGGGGTCTGGGTCAATTTAAGACTTGTTCCAACCTGTCCTATTCAAACGTATACGATCAAGTAGATCTTATTTTCTGTTATTGTCTTTTGATATATTTTTTATGTTTAATACAGTGTTTCGAGTTAAAATAAAAAATCAAATTATTCTTCAATCTTCAATCTTTGTCGTGATGACAGGGTAATCTCTCTTGTAAATTATCCTCTCTTGTAAAATTTTAATCACTAATGTAGTTTCTCCTTTGTACTTATTCGTGAATCCATGGTAATTGTGTAAACTATGCAGACGCTCCGTGGAATTTCTTGGGATTTAAATGACAATGAAGTGCATCGCACTCCCTCACATACCAAAATGTTAATCTGCAATTTTTCTTTATAATTTGGTAGTCATCATTATCTTAACTATAAGCTGAGGTCAATTCATGAAGTAAACAAGATTTTTCGTGTTTCGGCGTTCAACATTCTTCTCCATAACAGTGCCCCGGATGTACACTGGTACTTTGGTATTTTTTACCTATTTCCCCCTCCCTAGGATCTTCAATTCATGAACAAGTTACCAGATAAAATAAGATGTGACTGGTTTGTTTCCTCGAGGAACATAGAAAAATATAACCAAATACTAAAAAGTTCTTCAAATTATTAATCACAACGTTCTAAAACTAACTACAAAGAACTAAGAAAGTCCTCATCTAACAGTCGACTGATTACCTCAAAAAGAACAAAGTCCTTTTAAGGCAATATAAACTGCATCTATATTTCAATTGCGCTTATGTTAAACTTATAAAGTCGTAAGTAGGCTCTTTAAGGTACATTGTTGTGCTTTATTTATGTTGAACGATTAAAATTATTTTTATATCTTATATGTTTCTGTGAATTAATAATCTTACTAGCACTTTATTAATATTTTTTCGTTCGATTACATCCCTTGGCATTCAACTTCGACTTTTCTTCTTTTCATTCTTCATTAGATCGTAAAAAATATGGTAATGTGAATATGTTAAATCACAGAGTATCGTGACACAACTAACATAAGCTCTGTTGGTATATGTATTTTAAAGTGATTATGACACAGGCGCTTGGATAACCCCCCCTTTTTCTTAATAATTGTTATTTTGTGTTTTAATTTTTTATTTAGTTATATCTTTTAACATGTTTAATAATGTTACATATTTTCACTTCTTTGATCGAATTAGGTGTGCGAAGCCTGATGAGAGAAGAACTAAAATTTCTAACACAAATTTTCTTGGTGACATTTGTTGGGTACAAAGACAAAGTATATATAAATTGTAGTGTTACTTAGCCCTGTAATTTGTAAAACCTACATGTATTGTTACACGATGGAGAAAGTCTGCCATGAAGTTGTCACATATTAAGACTTATAATGAAATAATATTGACGTGCCTGCATGATTAATAAAGGCAGATCTTGGTTTTGTCTGTTCTAATAATTCTTTGCCAAAACTTATGTTAAATCTTTTCAGACCAAGTTGAGATGATAGAAGACGAAGTCTTCATTACAGTAGAAAAGTCTAAATAAAGTTAATCAAAATTTTCTATTTTTTGTCACCACGTCCACATGCACAATTTTGCTTGCCGGGAACATGTATCAGTCAGGGGTATATCTGTTTTTTTTAAGGATTGTCCCCTAACATCATAAATCATACTATTTCCTGAAAATATGTATATCCAACATGTCTGATTTATTAATTTATACCACAAAGTATAATGCCAATAGAATAATGTGGACTTCTTACTCTTTCACAGGTAACACCTGCCTCATTTAAAGGGACATTAGTTACGAAAACGACCAAAAAATTAAAATTGATGATTTTTTTTTTGTTTCAAATATTTATTAAAGTCATGAAAGTGGAATATAGAAATATTTTTTCACAATGAGTAGTCAGTTTGGTTCAATTTAGTCAAAATAAGCCAGAAAAAGCACTGGTGTATTATTGACGTGCAAGTCAATAATTCAACTCATTTGAATCTGTATTCATGTAATCTTTAATTTGACCTTTAGAGGAGATGTGTTTAGCATGTATTAAGCATGTTCATTCATTTAAAAGAAAAGTATGTCAACATTAAAAATTGAAACAAGGCAGACTCTAGAAATAACCATTCGTTGACTAACCTGGCCCACAAAAAATCATTTCTATACAGGTTAATGATTTTCATATATATATAACCTATAACATGAAATCAAACAGACCTCATGGACCTAGAAAAATCTGATTGCACTTGCTTGCTACCTATTTATATTCATATTTATGTTTGATATCTCAAAAGGAGTTCCATAACCTATCAATATTTTTAGCGTATTGTGTTCATTAACTAATGCTCTTCTGATTTATACTGGTAGTATCAATTTTAAATTCCAGATTTTTTTAATTTCACATGACTACATCCTTAAATCATTTTATTCATTTTTACATGTATGTTTTACCATAGATATAATAGCCATAGATAAAGTACTGAACCCACATCAAAAGCAGATGATATTTGCCGAAATTTTATCACCCTCTTATTATATACATGTCACGCTTGGTGTTAATTAGCCTTCATTGGCAATTGCCGTCTATCAATATCTAATAAATTGTGAATCGGGAGAGTAATATGTCATTCTTCGGACAAGTTCGGTAGTTATCGTTATCTTCCGGTACATCATTTTTTTTTGGAATGTTTATATTACATGCTTAAAATACAAGTCAAGGTGATAGATGTATAATTACATTGTTCTTATAAGTCCTGAATATTCATCAAATATTTTCCACCGAACGTTGTGAAATCAACGATCATATAATAAATCACAGTAATAGAAAATACACAACTAGTTTCATACCAAACCAAAGAAGTTATAAAAATAAAGTACACAAAAAGTACGTTGACAACTAAACGGGCAGACTTACGGAGGGTTATATAGCCGTATTTTAAATTTATAGTACGAATAACACCCCTAACACAATTCTAAGAAGGATATATATTGTTTACTTCAAAAATGAAATCGACAATCAGATTAAACCATCCGCTATTTAATTGCAAAACAAGCAACAACAAAAATGTAAGCGGAAAAGTATTATATATATAAAAGAAAAAAAATCAGAGACATGATAATTGTGCTATTTCCCAATTATTTAATGTATTCAGTATGTCCACCACTTACGTTTTCTTCACCAAACGGCGTTTTAAAATTTATAATGTATTCATTTTTTTTTTCTCTTTATTTTTCAAAAACTTCGTGTTACCGTTACGACAGAAAGTGTCAACACTTTTTTTGTGTTCTATATAATAATTTCGTTTTTCTGGTCTAAAATGTGATTATACTGTTTTGAATCTCGATAAAAAAGAATTGTCTTTAACTCGCCATAGAAAAATTCGACCAGGTTCGACCTCTTAACCACGTATACCATCAGTAGTTGATATGTCTCCTCTTGTCAATCATACAGGTCTTATTTCCCGAGTGCAACCGATGCAAGTGCTATGTTAATTTAATTTTACATGCCTGTTAAGTCCATTTTCCATAATTTCTCTATTTTATTATTTCAAAAACAGCATAACCTTTTTATTTGTTGACCGATTTTTTCCAAATAAATTACAATCCGAACAATTTTTACAACCAGACGCTTTTCATTGCTACCGCCTCACGGCATATTTTTACTTGAGACAGGTAACGCATATTAATTATCAGCTGATAAGACGCGTGCCCGATAATTTAAATATAATTATGATAAGAAATTAGTCTATTGGGAGGATATCGGCAGATATCATCTACATCACAGGCCACTTCGCGCCGTGCCGTGCGTTTGATATTTCAAAGGAAACTACATGGGGCTCAGTGTGATATACTCTGAGTACTTTATCTATGGCTATTATATCTATGGTTTTACCCTCTTTTTAAAACAAATTATAAAATTATTATTTAAACAACAGAAGAATACAGCATGGTGATGTGTAGTCTATTATGGTTTTATACATATGTTGTTGACTACACATTCAGTCAAGTCCTTTTGTTTACGCTGATTAATATTTTATTTGATTAATATTTTATTAGAAATTCATTTACAATCCTTAATTTTCTAAGTAATCTCATATTTTATATTATATAGATGTAACCATGACAACAGCAGATGTCCAGTTTGAAGCATCAGATGAGTCCTCAGAAAATGAATTATTAGAACGTAGTTTATCTGTATGGCATGGCTGGGATGTCAAAGATGAATCATCAATACCTCTAGATCTTCATACAGCCTCTAGTATAGGCCATTATGACAGTGTTAAGTCCTTTATATCCAGGTAATCTCAATACCTCTAGATCTTCATACAGCCTCTAGTAAAGGCCATTTTGACAGTGTGAAGTCAATCCCGATACCTCTAGATCTTCATACAGCCTCTAGTAAAGGCCATTATGAGAGTATTAAGTCAATCTCAATACCTCTATATCTTCATACAGCCTCTAGTATAGTCCATCATGACAGTGTTAAGCCATTTATATCCAGATAATCTCAATACCTCTAAATCCTCATACAGCCTCTTAGTATAGGCCATTATGACAGTGTTAAGTTGTTTATATCCAGGTAATTTCAATACCCTGGTACCTCTAGATCTTCATACAGCCTCTAGTAAAGGCTATTATGACAATGTGAAGTCATTTATATTCAGGTAATCTCAATACCTCTATATCTTCATACGCCTCTTGTATAGGCCATTCTGACAGTGTTAAGTTGTTTATATTGAGGTAATTTCAATACCTCTAGATTTTCATACAGCCTCTAGTGTAGGCCATTATGACAATGTTAAGTCGTTTATATCCAGGTAATTTCAATACCTCTAGATTTACATACAACCTCTATTATAGGTCATTATAACAGTGTTAAGTCGTTTATATCCAGGTAATCTCAATACCTCTAGATCTTCATAGATATAACCATTTTGTGTTTGTTTTTGCATAAACTATAGTATGGTAGATAGATAGAAACTGTAAAAAGCTAAAATTATCAACTGGACACAAACTACAAATCAATCAAACATGCCGGAAATCATCAGTCTACTCCTTACAGGAGTTATTGCCCTTGAAAGATGATATTACATATTTTGGTGTTTTTTCTTGAAACTATTTGAAACATTCTCATTGCGTTGTATCAATTTTATGCAAAATTGGCAGGTGAGCGATATAGGATCCTTGGACCTTCTAGTTTCATTTTTTGTTAACACCAATAAATCATAAAATCTGGCATAAGATTTAGTGTATTTTTAGCTCTCCTGGCCCAAAAGGCCAAGTATGCTTTTCTCATCACTTATTGTTCTTTGTCGGCATCCGTTAACTTTTACAAAAATCTTCTCTTCTGAAACTACTGGGCTAATTGGAACCAGAATTTGCCACAATCAACATTTGGGGTATCTAGTTTAAAAAATGTGTCTGATGACCCTGCCTGCCAACCAACATGGCCAAAAGGGCTAAACATAGGGGTAAAATGCAATGTTTGGCTATTATCTTGAAAACCATTAGAAATAAAGAAAATTTGACATGGCAAAAATGTTCAGAATGATGAGATCTACCTAATGTTTATTGACATCAAAACTGTCAGACAACTTCTTAGAGGAGTTATTGCCCTTTAACAACAAATTTTACCAATTTTTTCATTTTTGCCCATTATCTTGAAAATTATAATAGATAGATAGAAACTTTATATAACAAAAATGATCATCAAGACAAAATCTATAAATAAGATAAAACATGATCAAAATTGTTGGTTGACACTTTATAGAAGTTTTTGCCCTTTAATGACGATTATTCCAGGTTTTTTTTGCAATTTTGCTTATTATCTTGAAAACTATAATAGAAAGTATGAAATTTTGAATACCAGAAATAATCAGCAAGACAAGATCCATAGATAAGTCAGTACGACCAAAGTCGTTGGTCAACTCCTTATTGAAGTCATTTCCCTTTTTTGATGTTTTTTTTTCCAATATTTCATTTTTGCCTATTATCTTGAAAACTATAATAGATCATGTAGATAGATAGAAACTTTAAAAAGCAAAAATGATCGGCAAGCCAAGGTCTACACATTAGCCATCATTGTCGAAATTTTCAGTCAACTCTTTGTTGGAGTTATTGCCTATAATTTTTACCATTTTGTTTGTTTTTTTTGCCTTTTAAATTGAAAATTATAATAGATAAATAGAAACTTTAAAAAAGAAAAAAATTATCAGCAGGATAATTTCTACAAATACATCAATATGACTGAAATTGTGAGTTAACTCTTAATACTGTTATTCCCTTATAAAGATAATTTTTTACAAAAAAGTGGAAATTGTTGAAGATGCAGGCGAGTCTTTAATTTTTTACATCAGTATAACTTGGGAAATTACATATATATAAATATTAATGATCATTATCTCATATTGATTTGGGCTGCAATATATTCATTTGTATATATGTATGAGTTAAATAGGATGGGAAAAGTCAGACATACAAATTACATATATCTAAATTTGTTTTATCTTCATTAAGCATGATTAGAAATGCTTAAAGTCAAATGTTTGAAAAGCCAAAGATGTATTGTACTTATACTTTGGGGGGTTAAAGTCAAAAGGGGCTTGAATGGAATTTTCTATGGTCAGCAAGAGTTTTATTCTTTGATTTTTGAAACTACAGAATTATCCACTAATGGATAAGATAATCTAGATTAAGACCAAAGTACTGTTTTGTAATGAGGGACAGTGTAATATTTTTTGTTCACTTTACATTTACAGAAAGGTTGATTTAGACAAGAAGAATAGAGGAGGATGGACACCTTTAATGTATGCATGTTACATTGGGCATGACAATATAGTGAACCTTCTACTAGAAGCCTCTGTTGGTGTCAATGAACAAAACAATAAAGGACAGACTCCACTCATGTTAGCTGCTAGCTGTGGAAATGAAAGTGTTGCTTACTTTGTTTACCAGGTAACATTAAAATTAAGATTTGGTAAATTTGGTAAATAAATGCTTCAGAATACATGTGTATAAAAGAATATGTGGGGTAAACCTCAATGACAGCAACCCAAAGACAAAAATATCCAAAAGACGTATGGACACGAGACAATGCACTGAAACAACAACATTTCTCATACATGCATTTGTAAATTAAAAAGTTATTGCAATGTTGTAACAGAATTTTCTTATCATTAAGAAAACGCAATATTTTTATGCCCCACCTAGGGGCATTATGTTTTTCGGTCTGTGCGTCCTTTCATCCGTTCGTCAGTCCGTCTGTCCCGCTTCAGGTTAAAGTTTTTGGTCAAGGCAATTTTTGATGAAGTTGAAGTCCAATCAACTTGAAACTTAGTACACATGTTCCCCTTTATATGATCTTTCTAATTTTAATGCCAAATTAGAGTTTTGACCCCAATTTCACGGTCCATTGAACATAGAAAATGATAGTGCGAGTGGGGCATCTGTGAACTATGGACACATTCTTGTTTTACATTGTCCCCAGCATGGGCTTTTGCTGTGGGATATACCGTAAGGGTGTTGGTTATATGTACACAACACATTAATACTCAGAGACTGTTTGACAGAAACCTTGCATACTTGGTAGGAATATTTTCTTGATCATACTATACTGTTAGTTTGATTTGACCATTTTTACAGGAGTTTTGGGACTTTGATTTTTATACGACCGCAAAAATTAAAAAAATTTTTGTCGTATATTGGTATCAAGTTGTCGTCGTCGTCGTCCGTCGTCGTCGTCAGCGTTGTCTGAAGACAGATGGTTTCCGGATAATAACTTTAGTATAAGTAAATAGAAATCAATAAAATTTTAACACAAGGTTTATAAACACTAAAGGAAGGTTGGGATTGATTTTGGGTGTTATGGTCCCAACTGTTTAGGAATTAGGGGCCAAAAAGGGGCCAAAATAAGCATTTTTGTAGTTTCCAGACAATAACTTGTGTTAAAGTGTATGAATCTCTCTGAAATTATACCACAAGTTTCCATACTACAAAGGGATGGTTAGGATTGACTTTGGGGGGCTATGGCTCAAACCAATTAGTAATCAGGGGCAAAAAAAGGGGAAAAACAAGGGTTTTTTCTGGTTAAAGGACAAATGAGACAATTTAAAAGCAGTGTAAGGGAGGTAATCCAAATCAATTAAAAGAACACTGTTTGATTACCTCCCTTACACTGCTTGTAAATTATGTATTAAGAAATGATGATTGTTTTGAGGTGTCAATTTATTTTTAGCAGTTACTATTAATTAATATTAATTTTAGCCATGACTATGTATGTCATTTTATATTTTAAAACTTTTATGATGTATTTAAATGGGTAATTATGGTTGCAAACTCCATTAGAAATTTGAATTGAGATACTGACCATATCTTGAGGGAAAGTTTTTTTTTGGAGAATAAGGGAAAGGGGGGAGGTGAAAAAAATTGGAGGGGGGGGGGACAATTTTTCTCATTTCAGATTTCAGAAATTAAAAGAAAATTTCTTCAAATATTTTTTTATGGGGGTTAATACTCAACAGCATAGTGTATTGCACAAAAGCAAAAAACCGGGGTAAAATTTTTTTTTTTTGGGGGTGGGGGGGGGGGGGGGTCAATTTGCAACAGCATAGTGTATTGCTCAAAAGCAAAAATTTGAATATAAATTCAAATCATATAACCAATTTGAAGTTCTTTGACTACAGTTATTCTGTGTCAGAAACCTATTATGTGTCAAAAATTTAGTTACAATCCAAATTCAGACCTGTATCAAGCGTGAATATTGTGTCCATTTTGGCCCCAACTTTTCAGGGTTGGACATCTGCGTTCGTATCCAGCTGTGCTCAGCGAAGCAATTTATTTTTTACTATCCTACCACAATGACACCTTGTGAAAGCGGCTCCCCTGACACTGTTTGACAGAAAGCTCTCATACTTGGTAGAATTGATTGAGATCATGTGTTATTCACCATATTGTACTGTTCTTATGATTCCACAATTTAATGGGAGAAATGGGACTTTGCCTATTTTTAAGGCTTTTGTACCATAATGACTCCATAATATATCCACATATAGGGGCCTCGGTGGCCGAGTGGTCTAAGTAGTTACTACTGTAATCACTAGCCAGTCAACACTGAGGTTGTGAGTTCGAATCCCGCACGGGGCAGGTGCACTCGACTCCAATCTTAATTGACTAGGATTGTCAGTTTTCCTATCGAAGGTCTGTGGTTTTCTCCGGGCATTCCGGCTTCCTCCACCAATAAAAACTGGCCGCCATGAAATTGCCCAAAAGCGTTGCTTAAAAGTGGCTTTAAAATACAAAAAAAAAATTAAAAAAAAAAATATATCCACATAATATTATTCCTTTTTTACACAGAGGCAGGGGACATTTTACTATCGCACAGCAATCTTCTCTAGTAATTAGTAACAACTTAGTTTTTTAAATTTAATATTTTAGATGGTTTCCATATGAATTCACAATTATAAATTGTATGCATTACCAGCAATTTCTGGCCATAAAAATACTTGAGAGAAAGTCAAATACTGTTAAACAATGGTATTGAAATCCTATTTTATTAATTGATAAGGTTAAGATTTACAAATGAATTAGGAATTGAAATTGTTATTTATATGTTACAGCAAGGAGGCGACTTAGAAGCTAGAGACAGAAAAGGATGGACAGCCTTATTTCATGCAACATATGCTGGACATCAGAATGTTGTGAAATTTCTTTTAGAACAAGGAGCTCATATCAATGCCGTGTAAGTGTAGGTTGTTACTTCTCCTAGAACAGGGAGCTCATATTAATGCTGTGTAAGTGTAGGCTGTAACTTCTCCTAGAACAAGGAGCTCATATCAATGCTGTGTAAGTGTAGGCTGTTACTTCTCCTAGAACAAGGAGCTCATATCAATGCTGTGTAAGTGTAGGCTGTAACTTCTCCTAGAACAAGGAGCTCATACCAATGCTGTGTAAGTGTAGGTTGTTACTTCTTCTAGAACAAGGAGCTCATATCAATCCTATGTAAGTGTAGACTGTTACTTCTCCTAGAACAAGGAGCTCATATCAATCCTTTGTAAGTGTAGACTGTTACTTCTAGAACAAGGAGCTCATATCAATGCTGTGTATGTGTAGGCTGTTACTTCTCCTAGAACAAGGAGCTCATATCAATGCTGTGTAAGTGTAGGCTGTTACCTGTCCTAGAATAAGGAGCTCATGTCAATGCTGTATAAGTGTAGGCTGTTACTTCTCCTAGAACAAGGAGCTTTTGTCAATGCTGTTTAAGTGTAGGCTGTTACATCTCCTAGAACAAGGAACTCATATCAATGCTGTGTAAGTGTAGGCTGTTACTTCTCCTAGAACGAGGAGCTCATATCAATGCTTTGTAAGTGTAGGTTGTTACTTCTCCTAGAACAAGGAGCTCATATCAATGCTGTGTAAGTATGGGCTGTTACTTCTCCTAGAACAAGCAGCTCATGTCAATTCTGTGTAAGTGTAGGCTGTTACTACTCTAAAAACAAGGAGCTCATATCAATGCTGTGTATGTGTAGGCTGTTACTGCTCCTAGAACAAGGAGCTCATGTCAATTCTGTGTAAGTGTAGGCTGTTACTTTTCCTAGAACAAGGAGCTCATGTCAATGCTGTATAAGTGTAGGCTGTTACTTCTCCTAGAACAAGGAGCTCTTGTCAATGCTGTGTAAGTGTAGGCTGTTACATATCCTGGAACAAGGAGCTCATATCAATGCTGTGTAAGTGTAGGCTGTTACTTCTCCTAGAACGAGGAGCTCATATCAATGCTTTGTAAGTGTAGGTTGTTACTTCTCCTAGAACAAGGAGCTCATATCAATGCTGTGTAAGTATGGGCTGTTACTTTTCCTAGAACTAGGAGCTCATGTCAATCCTATGTAAGTGTAGACTGTTACTTCTCCTTGAACAAGGAGCTCATGTCAATTCTGTGTAAGTGTAGGCTGTTACTTCTCCTAGAACAAGCAGCTCATGCCAATGCTATGTAAGTGTTGGTTGCTACTTCTCCTAGAATGAGGAGCTCATGCCAATGCTGTGTAAGTGTAGGCTGTTACTTCTCCTAGAACGAGGAGCTCATATCAATGCTTTGTAAGTGTAGGTTGTTACTTCTCCTAGAACAAGGAGCTCATATCAATGCTGTGTAAGTATGGGCTGTTACTTTTCCTAGAACTAGGAGCTCATGTCAATCCTATGTAAGTGTAGACTGTTACTTCTCCTTGAACAAGGAGCTCATGTCAATTCTGTGTAAGTGTAGGCTGTTACTTCTCCTAGAACAAGCAGCTCATGCCAATGCTATGTAAGTGTTGGTTGCTACTTCTCCTAGAACGAGGAGCTCATGCCAATGCTTTGTAAGTGTAGGTTGTTACTTCTCCTAGAACAAGGAGCTCATATCAATGCTGTGTAAGTGTATGTTGTTACTTCTCCTAGAACAAGGAGCTCATATCAATGCTGTGTAAGTGTATGTTGTTACTTCTCCTAGAACAAGGTGCTCATATCAATGCTGTGTAAGTGTATGTTGTTACTTCTCCTAGAACAAGGAGCTCATATCAATGCTGTGTAAGTGTAGGTTGTTACTTCTCTTAGAACAAGGAGCTCATATCAATGCTGTGTAAGTGTATGTTGTTACTACTCTAAGAACAAGGAGCTCATACCAATGCTGCCTTGGCTGTTCTCTATTTTGTCCAAAAACTATGTGCAAAATAGCAACTTTTGGTGTGCTTATGACATCATAAGTGAAACCTTTGCTCTAAAGTGTCTATATTATATTACTCTATTCATTCACTTACACAATTAACATAATTTTGAAAGTATTGAATAATTTTACTATTTTTGCAATTTCTGATGTCAAAAATGGCTTTTAAGCATCATACCTCCTCCTTTTGCAAAAGCTTCATATATTCCTTATCTTATTTGTTTCTTTACAGAGAACCTATTCATGGATTAACTCCCTTTATGGAGGCTGCAGCTGAAGGTCATGAAAAGATTGTACAGTTATTTCTCCAACATGTATGTTAGACAGTTAATTACTGCAGATAGGAACACTAATTTGTAAAAGGTTGCATAAACTGGACTAACAGAATTATTATAAGCTCTGCTCAAATTCATTGAGAACATAATGTTTAAACCTTGTCCATCTCTATGTCACAAAATTGGTATTCATTTATCTTCAATTCTCCATGACTAATTTGTTTAAAATTTTGAAATGCTGTTAGGAAGGAATGAACACAGATTGAGTGTGAATATGACAAATTTCACAAATGTAGTTTCATCAAAACAATAATTTCCATTGAAAATGGACATATTTCTGGTAAATTTCCAATCTTGACATAGTTCTTGTTCTTATATATTTTCACAACCCTCTCAAAATCTTGGATCTGCACTTGGTAACAATTATATAGGTCAGGTACTCTTTTCACCAAAAATCTTACGTTTGTAAGTTATACTGAAAAGTGCATGACATACTAGAATTTTACTTAAGTAATTTTGTGTAAAAATAGCCACAGGTGTACAAAATGGTATTTTATCTTCCTATAAAAACTAAAATTTATGAAAACAAGTGTACTGACAATTCTTTTTAGGCATTAATCAATGCTTAGAATAGTCATTAAGGACAGGAATACTTACAATCAAATATACATGAACATTATAACCTTTTTTATGGCTCTGCTTCAAACACCTTTGGATAATTAATTTCTTGCAGTATAAATTTTACTTCAATATGTTTCAGAGAGCACATATAAATGCCAAGTCCTATAAAAATGAAACAGCGAGATCATTAGCACTGGTATATAACCATGTAGCAATCGTCAACTTGATAGATAATGCTCTGCGTCCTGGAGTTTCATTACGTTCAGAGCCAGGTAGGTAGATTAGACGATGTGTCTTAGAGTTTCTATACGTTCAGAGCCAGGTAACTAAATAAGGCTATGTGTCTTGGAGTTACATTTAGATTAGTGCAAGAAAGGTAGAAAAAGCTGTGTCCTGGTGTTTCACTTCGTTCAGAGACAGGAAGGTTGACAATGCTATGTCCTGGGGTTTCACTTTGTTCAGAGACAGGTAGGTAGACAATGCTATGTCCTGGGGTTTCACTTCGTTCAGAGACAGGAAGGTTGACAATGTTATGTCCTGGGGTTTCACTTTGTTCAGAGACAGGTAGGTAGACAATGCTATGTCCTGGGGTTTCACTTCGTTCAGAGACAGGTAGGTAGACAATGCTATGTCCTGGGGTTTCACTTCGTTCAGAGACAGGTAGGTAGACAATGCTATGTCCTGGGGTTTCACTTCATTCAGAGACAGGTAGGTAGACAATGCTATGTCCTGGGGTTTCACTTCGTTCAGAGACGGGAAGGTTGACAATGTTATGTCCTGGGGTTTCACTTTGTTCAGAGACAGGAAGGTAGACAACGTTATGTCCAGGGGTTTCACTTTGTTCAGAGACAGGTAGGTAGACAATGCTATGTCCTTTTGATTTCACGTCATTCAGAGACTGGTAGTTAGACAATGTTATGTCCTGGGATTTCACTTCATTCAGAGACTGGTAGTTAGACAATGCTATGTCCTGGGATATCACTTCATTAAGAGACTGGTAGTTAGACAATGCTATGTCCTGGGATATCACTTCGTTCAGAGACTGGTAGGTAGACAATGCTATGTCCTGGAATATCAATATGTTCACAGACTGGTAGGTAGACAATGCTATGTCCTGGAGTTTCATTAGGTTTAGAGCCAGGTAGGTTTTTCTTTGTTGCCTGAAATTATTTTTCAACTCCATTTTGGTTTCTTGTTCTTTTTCTTTTTCTGTTTAAAGAACACAATGTGCAATTTTTTGGAACATGATGTAATTATTTTATTAAGTTTCCCAAACGAAGTTTGGGAAGACTTATTGTTTTTGCTCAGTTCTTATTATTATTATTATTCTTCTTCTTCTTCTTCTTCTTCTTCTTCTTCTTCTTCTTCCGCCGCTTTTAAATTTGAACTTGTCCGCACCCGTTCTCCAAAACCGCATGTCAGATTAACTTAGGGTTTCACAATATGTTAGACTAACATGTCTAGTGGTGCAATCAGGGTTTTGTTTGTGCAATTGGGTTTATAAAGGGGTACTTTGAGGGGCAAAAAGAAAAGAGGGTTTTACTATAGAACCCTATGGGATTTTATTTTTTAAAATTTTCAAATGATTATAAATTGAAAACCGTTTGTGATAGACGCAATCTTTTTAATTGAAAATGTTCTAAATGATAAAGCCCATTAAATGAAATACAGGGTTAGTCCCCAGGGGTCACCCCCACCCCCTGCCATTTAAGAAAGTTCTAATACCTTGTAAGTGGTCAAGATCCCCACCCCTAAACCATATATATTTTGGTTTGTTATGCTAAGATGGTTTGAATGATATTCAGGGTTAGTCCCCAGGGGTCACCCCGACCCCCTGCCATTTGAGAAAGTTCTAATATCTTGTAAATGGTCGAGATCCCCACCCCTAAACCATATATATTCTGGTTTGTCATGACAAAGCACATCAAATGAAATACAGGGTTAGTCCCCAGGGGTCACCCCCACCCCCTGCCATTTAAGAAAGTTCTAATACCTTGTAAGTGGTCAAGATCCCCACCCCTAAACCATATATATTCTGGTTTGTCATGCTAAGATGGTTTGAACTATATACAGGGTTAGTCCCCAGGGGTCATCCCGACCCCCTGCCATTTGAGAAAGTTCTAATATCTTGTAAATGGTCGAGATCCCCACCCCTAAACCATATATATTCTGGTTTGTCATGATAAAGCACTTCAAATGAAATACAGGGTTAGTCCCCAGGGGTCACCCCCACCCCCTGCCATTTGAGAAAGTTCTTATATCTTCTAAGTGGTCAAGATCCCCACCCCTAAACCATATATATTCTGGTTTGTCATGCTAAGATGGTTTGAATGATATACAGGGTTAGTCCCCAGGGGTCATCCCGACCCCCTGCCATTTGAGAAAGTTCTAATATCTTGTAAATGGTCGAGATCCCCACCCCTAAACCATATATATTCTGGTTTGTCATGATAAAGCACATCAAATGAAATACAGGGTTAGTCCCCAGGGGTCACCCCCACCCCCTGCCATTTGAGAAAGTTCTAATATCTTGTAAATGGTTGAGATCTCCACCCCTAAACCATATATATTCCTATTTGTCATGTCTCGAACATTTGAATGACGTATACGGTCAGTCCCCAGGGCCCCACCCCCAATGTTCTAATATCTTGTAAATGGTTGAGATCCCCACCCCTAAACCATATATATTCTGGTTTGTCATGCCAAGATGATTTGAATGATATACAAGGTTAGTCCCCAGGCATCACTAATGCATATAACTTTACTGGACCAAACCAATTTTCACTGGAAGTTGCCCAATGTCAGGCGACCCTGGGAATTATGAATTATGGGAGCTTCGTTTGGGAGACTTCGTAACAGCATCCTGTTACATTCATTTCTTGTTTGAAAACATTTTGAAAGAAAAATGAAAATTAAGAAAAGCTTGAAAACGGGGTTCAAAATATAGAAATAAAAACACCATAGAAATATTGGTGAGAACTGCAACCAAAGAACAAGATTTGCCATTCAGAAAGTAGCCATTTTCTGAATATTCTGTTTTAATCTGCCTGGGTCAAATAGAAAAGATGAGACTTGGGCATTGGCATAGTCTACAAAAAAGCACAAATGGTTAAGCTCAGTCAATTCCTAAATCTAGCATGTCCGATATCATTGCACAGAGGGTTTTTTTTTTTTTTTAATTTCTATTTATAAATGACCCAATTGGCCTATCATCATACAGTCTATGAAATTTGTGTTTTTTCTGAGTTTTACTACAAAACAGGGTTAGACATATCTCTTTTAACTGTTCTACTGAATTAAATTTCTTATTAGAATGTATAAGTTGTAAAATTCATAATATTTTTGTTAAAATATGGAACAGACTTTTAACTAAATAGTATTTTTCAGGTTTGGATGGAGATTTAAGTTCATCAGATGACAATTTGCCACAGAAGAGAAGACACCAATCAAGAAGGTCTAATAATAAAGGAGGTCCAAGTATTAGAGATGGACCAGAAGCAATAGCTAGACTTATAGACAGATCTCGTAATCCTCCAACTAGTACTGGTGGTAGGTACAATTATAGTTTCTGCCATTGTAATATACTGATAGGTCTATTATTGAAAAAAGGGTTAGATACTTGTAGTAGTCCATAGTGTACATGAAGATAGGACTGTAAATTCTCAAAATAATATAACAGAAGTCTGGTTATTTTCATGTTTTATTTATTTTTTTACACTCCAAGTGATAATAAGTATTCATTTTTTTTTTTAAAGAATTTGGATAAATATATTCAAATCTAATATTTTATTGTCATTTGAACTTTGTTTTATGTTTTGATTTTAGATTTTTACTGACTTCAGCAGGGAATAAGACTAACATTTTCCAACTAGGGGCCCAACCTGCCACAATGTGAAAATTAACATAACACTATGGGCATTTTAATAAAAAATTTAGGGGCCCAACCCAAATTTTAGTAGCATTGGCTACTGGGCCCCTGCTAATCTTTTTCCCTGTTCAGTAGGACTTAAGATTAAGATATGGGTTTTAAGAGTGGTGATATTATGACTTATATTGGCACAGAAGTAAGCATCACCGGGTATTGTTTCTCAAGTAATTTAATTTTGATGAAAGACTATATGGCTTATTATTGATTTCAACTTGAAATTCATTATAGATACCTGTGTACCAAAAGGTTATGTTAGTTTTCCTCAGCCTACAGAAGAAACAACACCACAGTTATCATACAGAGATGTAACTTCACCTATCAACATGCAAGATTATGCTCTAGATAGTTCTGGTGGTAGAGGTAAGATTCATATAATGTTTTTATGAAAGCAGGATTAACTTCTATTAACATGCAAGATTATGCTCTAGATAGTTCTGGTGGTAGAGGTAAGATTCATATAATGTTTTTATGAAAGCAGGATTAACTTCTATTAACATGCAAGATTATGCTCTAGATAGTTCTGGTGGTAGAGGTTAGATTCATATAATGTTTTTATGAAAGCAGGATTAACTTCTATTAACATGCAAGATTATGCTCTAGATAGTTCTGGTGGTAGAGGTAAGATTCATATAATGTTTTTATGAAAGCAGGATTAACTTCACCTATTAACATGCAAGATTATGCTCTAGATAGTTCTGGTGGTAGAGGTAAGATTCATATAATGTTTTTATGAAAGCAGGATTAACTTCACCTATTAACATGCAAGATTATGCTCTAGATAGTTCTGGTGGTAGAGGTAAGATTCATATAATGTTTTTATGAAAGCAGGATTAACTTCTATTAACATGCAAGATTATGCTCTAGATAGTTCTGGTGGTAGAGGTTAGATTCATATAATGTTTTTATGAAAGCAGGATTAACTTCTATTAACATGCAAGATTATGCTCTAGATAGTTCTGGTGGTAGAGGTAAGATTCATATAATGTTTTTATGAAAGCAGGATTAACTTCACCTATTAACATGCAAGATTATGCTCTAGATAGTTCTGGTGGTAGAGGTAAGATTCATATAATGTTTTTATGAAAGCAGGATTAACTTCTCCTATTAACATGCAAGATTATGCTCTAGATAGTTCTGGTAGTAGAGGTAAGATTCATATAATGTTTTTATGAAAGCAGGATTAACTTCTCCTATTAACATGCAAGATTATGCTCTAGATAGTTCTGGTGGTAGAGGTAAGATTCATATAATGTGTTTATGAAAGCAGGATTAACTTCTCCTATTAACATGCAAGATTATGCTCTAGATAGTTCTGGTGGTAGAGGTAAGATTCATATAATGTTTTTATGAAAGCAGGATTAACTTCTATTAACATGCAAGATTATGCTCTAGATAGTTCTGGTGGTAGAGGTAAGATTCATATAATGTTTTTATGAAAGCAGGATTAACTTCTATTAACATGCAAGATTATGCTCTAGATAGTTCTGGTGGTAGAGGTAAGATTCATATAATGTTTTTATGAAAGCAGGATTAACTTCTATCAACATGCAAGATTATGCTCTGGATAGTTCTGGTGGTAGAGGTAAGATTCATATAATGTTTTTATGAAAGCAGGATTAACTTCTATCAACATGCAAGATTATGCTCTGGATAGTTCTGGTGGTAGAGGATAGGTGGATGTTAAACTGTTTTCTTGTGAGCTAACACAACAGGCATGTGTTTCACCCATTATCATGACTGGAGTATGATAATATGATATGAATATAAATCCAGCTTTGTACTAGACCGAAACAGTATTAAATTCAGTGATCAGGATGGCATAACTTGTCTATAAAGTTGCAGATCCAGGATTTTAGGCCAAGGGGTGTGACCATAATATTGTAGTAGAGCAGAACGAGGCAAACAAATTTTATAGGTTTTTTCAAACATTTTTTTTATGATCTTAAGGTGAATATACTGCTGATATACCAACAGACGTACACTTTCTTTGTAAAATTCTGATGAATTGGATGTTACAGATTCATTTAAAATCAAGGTAACAGAAAAATTCTATATTTAAAGTGCATCAATGAAATTTTAATTTTCCAGATTCTTGTGATAATGATCCAGATGATGATGGAAATGCGTTCTCAAAGACTGGTGCTCTAACCATAAAGAGCAGCTCTGGTTCCTCTGGTGGACTCATGTCAGCATTAGGATTAAGTCGGGACAATAGTGTTGACAGTGACGACTATCAGCCTCACAGCAGTATATCATCACATGATGGTAGTATAGGGGGTGCTATGGGGAATCTGTCATTAGGTGGAAGCACTGGCAGTTTAAATGGAAGTGCTCTATCACCAGCTTCAAGCATTAATTTTGATCTTCAACAGAGTAAAGATGTCAGAACTGCAAATGTACCTCAAGATAACAATGCATATAAAATGACACCTAGTGATATTCTAGCAAATCAGGGGAAGACAACTCTGGAAAACCGTGGCAATGTTAAGCCTAGGGATATTGGTATAAACTACACCAATCAGAATGTTGTAAACAATGGTGCTACTATTGATGATTATAATAAGAAAGGATTTCCTAACATAGGTGCAGATTTCGGTGCTCAACTTGGGCAGTTATTTCCACAGAATCCTGCTGCCAGGACAGACCAACAATTCTTCAAGCAAGGGGAGGTAAGTATAATTATGGCACTTCCCAAAATACCTGTACCAGTCAAATTACAATTCTGTGTAGCCATTTAAATTGGTATATTAGCATAGAAAATAGATATTTAATCAAATTTAAATGGCAACATTGAATGTCTAAATATTGTTTTAACAAAAAATGTACAGTGCTCAAATATATAAACATATAAAATATATCAAGCCTCGAATAACCTTAATAGTTTTCTTACTTAACGAGAAAACTATTCCCGCTTACATTTATAAAAAAATACCCGTGCTATTATAATAACAACTGCTATTACATCACATTGCGGTAAAATACCAACCGATGATATTTATTTTAAAATTAAATAATAAGAAACCTGTTTAATATTACCGGTCACCAATCAGATAACTTGTTGGTGACACACAAACACATGATACTTTGTTTGTAAACAAACTTTAAAAACTATAAACATAAAGCATGTGTTCATCTAACGTTAATAAATACATATATACACCAGACTCACCCACAGATAAGTCTGATCAAAACAATAACTTTCATGTATTTGGTAATTTCAGGGTAATAACACAGGATATCCAGAAGATTTACATACTTTATTAGAACAGTTGAGTCTGACTAAATATTTACCTGTATTTGAAGAACAAGAAATAAATCTGGAAGTGTTCCTGTCTCTTACTGATAATGATCTCAAAGAAATTGGTATACAGTAAGTATAAACAATGGAAGACATGTTACCTGTCAGGTGCACTTGAACATTGACATTACCAGCAATACATAACAAAAAAGAGAAGTATAAACAAGGGAAGACATGTTACCTGTCAGGTGCACTTGAACATTGATATTAACAGCAATACATAACAAAAAAGAGTAGAAGTATAAACAAAGGAAGACATGTTACCTATCAGGTGCACTTGAACATTGACATAACCAGCAATACATAACAAAAAAGAGAAGTATAAACAAGGGAAGACATGTTACCTGTCAGGTGCACTTTAACATTGATATTAACAGCAATACATTACAAAAAAGAGTAGAAGTATATACAAAGGAAGACATGTTACCTGCCAGGTGCACTTGAACATTGATATTACCAGCAATACGTAACAAAAAAGAGTAGAAGTATAAACAAAGGAAGACATGTTACCTGTCAGGTGCACTTGAACATTGACATTACCAGCAATACATAACAAAAAAGAGAAGTATAAACCAAGGAAAACATGTTACCTGTTAACAAAAAAGAGAAGAAGCATAATACAGTTTATTAAGAGGTAGTACTTATTTTTGTTGCATTAAAGGTCTTTCACACTTAAAGATATAAAAGAGTCATTTACTTGAATGAGTTAATTAGACCTTTGTCAGTGTTTCAATGGATTTTTTCCTGAGTTATTATAGAGAGAGGTATTCTTGCTGATATATGTATATGGCAAAGATTTTTTTGTAATAATACTTCATATTTTTGTTGAATTTACATTTTGTTGAATGTAATTGAAAATTCTTATCATATGCATAGATCTCTAAATAAAGCCAGATGATTGTACCTGGTGCTTCTTAGTTTTGGGTTAAAGGTATTTGTCACTGACTTTCAATGGAATGTATCCTGAGTCACTATACAGAAAGGTATGGAAAAATGCTGATGCATGACAAAAACTTTTGGATAAACATGCAATAATTTTTTTTAAACCCTTATCATATACATCCCTGACACCTTGTCTTTTAAGATGTTTTCAAGGATTCAATGTCCTGAGAAAAATAGAAAATCAACAATTACATCAGTGAAAGTCAAGTCATAAAAAAATCTTAGTAGAAATAATACTTCTAGTTAGTATAACTAACAATCGTTTTAAATATAATAAGATTTATGTGTTGAAAGAGTTGTTGCTTAAGTACTGTAAAATCTGCATATTTACTGAACCAAATAAACAGCTAAATATTAGATTTTTAGACTCCTTTATTATATTTTTTGATAATGATCCACTGATGTCAGTTATGAATTCAATTACTCTTTAAAGCTTTAAAAAAAAACTATATAGGTTGAACCCATTTTTTATACGACCGCAAAAAAATTTTGTGGTCGTATATTGGTATGACGTTGGCGTCGTCGTCGTCGTCGTCGTCGTCGTCTGGCGTCGTCCGAAGACACATTGGTTTTCGCACTCTAACTTTAGTTTAAGTGAATGGATCTTTTTGAAATTTGACCATAAGGTTAAATACCACAAAAGGAAGGTTGGGATTGATTTTGGGGGTTATGGTACCAACAGTTAAGGAATTAGGGGCCAAAAAGGGGCCAAAAATAAGCATTTTCTAGTTTCCAGACAATAACTGTGGAACGGTGTATGGATCTCTCTGAAATTATACTACAAGTTTCCATACCACAAAGGGATGGTTAGGATTTGCTTTGGGGGATTATGGCTCAAACCGTTTAGGAATTAGAGGCAAAAAAGGGGGAAAAACAAGGTTGTCCTGGTTAATGGACAAATACTTTAATACAAAACATAATTTAAAGCAGTGTAAGGGAGATAAATCAAATACATCATTGAAATTATCTCCCTTACACTGCTTTTAAATTATGTATAAAGTAATGGTTAATGAACAATAAAGATAATTTAAAACAGTGTAAGGGAGGTAATCCAAATACAACGTTTTGGTTACTTCCCTTACACTGCTTTTAAATTATGTTTAAAGAAATGCATATTTATAAAGGAAGACCAGTAAAAATATCTGCAAATGTTGCATCTTTTTTTTTACAAAAAAATCCATATGAAAGATTTGACACTATATTTTTAATTCTATTATAAAATAGATTAAGTTAGCACTATGGTAAATTTAAATGGGTAATTATGGTTGCCAACTCCATTGGAAATTTGAATTGAGATTATGACCATATCTTGAGGGAAAGAATTTTTTGGGGAAAAAAAGGGGGGGGGGGATAAAAAGAAATTGTGGGGGGTCAATTTTTTCTCATTTCAGATTTCAGAAATTAAAAAGAATTATTCTTCAAATATTATTTTTTTTTCAAATTTCAAATATTGAAAAATTTCAAGAAGTAATCTTTAATTGCACAGTATGGCACATTAGATTTGTAAAATCTTTGATCACATTTATTTATTTGTTATGCCGAATCTAACAGTGTATTTAGATTTTTAATTTTGGGTCCAGTTTTCAAATTGGTCTACATTAAGGTCCAAAGGGTCCAAAATTAAACTTTGTTTGATTTTAGCAAAAATTGAATATATGAGGTTCTTTGATATGCTGAATCTAAACATGTATTTAGATTTTTGATTTTTGGCCCAGTTTTCAAGTTGGTCCAAATTGGGGTCCAAAATTAAACTTTGTTTGATTTCAACAAAAATTGAATATATGGGGTTCTTTGATATGCTGAATCTAACCATGTATTTAGATTTTTTATTTGTGGACCCCATTATCAAATTGGTTCATATTGAGGTCAAAAGGGTCCAAAATTAAACTTTGTTTGATTTCATCTAAAATTGAATTATTGGGGTTCTTTGATATTCCAAATCTAACAGTGTATTTAGATTTTTAATTTTGGGTCCTGTTTTTTAAATTGGTCTACATTAAGATCCAAAGGGTCCAAAATTAAACTAAGTTTGATTTTAACAAAAATTGAATTTTTGGGGTTCTTTGATATGCTGAATCTAAACATGTGTTTAGATTTTTTATTATGGGCCCAGTTTTCAAGTTGGTCCAAGATAGGGTCCAGTATTTAAACTTTGTTTGATTTCAACAAAAATTGAATATATGAGGTTCTTTGATATGCTGAATCTAAACATGTATTTAGATTTTTGATTATGGGCCCAGTTTTCAAGTTGGTCCAAATTGGGGTCCAAAATTAACTTTGTTTGATTTCATCAAAAATTGAATTATTGGGGTTCTTTGATATGCCAAATCTAACCGTGTTTTTAGATTTTTAATTTGGGTCCCGTTTTTTAACTTGGTCTTCATTGAGGTCCAAAGGGTCCAAAACTAAACTTAGTTTGATTTTAGCAAAAATTGAATTCTTGGGGTTCTTTGATATGCTGAATCTAAACATGTGTTTAGATTTTTGATTATGGGCCCAGTTTTCAAGTTTGTCCAAGTTGGGGTCCAAAATTAAACCTATTTTTGATTTCAACAAAAATTGAATATATGGGGTTCTTTGATATGCTGAATCTAACCATGAATTTAGATTTTTTATTTGTGGGCCCGCTATCAAATTGGTTCATATTGAGGTCAAAAGGGTCCAAAATTAAACTTTGTTTGATTTCATCAAAAATTGAATTATTGGGGTTCTTTGATATTCCAAATCTAACCGTGTATTTAGATTTTGAATTTTAAGTCCCGTTTTTTAAATTGGTCTACATTAAGGTCCAAAGGGTCCAAAATTAAACTTAGTTTGATTTTAGCAAAAATTGAATTCTTGGGGTTCTTTGATATGCTGAATCTAAACATGTGTTTAGATTTTTGATTATGGGCCCAGTTTTCAAGTTGGTCCAAGATAGGGTCCAGTATTTAAATTTTGTTTGATTTCAACAAAAAATGAATATATGAGGTTCTTTGATATGCTGAATCTAAACATGTATTTAGATTTTTGATTATGGGCCCAGTTTTCAAGTTGGTCCAAATTGGGGTCCAAAATTAACTTTGTTTGATTTCAACAAAAATTGAATATATGAGGTTCTTTGATATGCTGAATCTAACCATGTATTTAGATTTTTTATTTGTGGGCCCCGCTATCAAATTGGTTCATATTGAGGTCAAAAGGGAACAAAATTAAACTTTGTTTGATTTCATCAAAAATTGAATTATTGGGGTTCTTTGATATGCCAAATCTAACCGTGTTTTTAGATTTTTAATTTGGGTCCCGTTTTTTAAATTGGTCTTCATTGAGGTCCAAAGGGTCCAAAATTAAACTTAGTTTGATTTTAGCAAAAATTGAATTCTTGGGGTTCTTTGATATGCTGAATCTAAACATGTGTTTAGATTTTTGATTATGGGCCCACTTTTCAAGTTTGTCCAAGTTGGGGTCCAAAATTAAACTTTTTTTGATTTCAACAAAAATTGAATATATGGGGTTCTTTGATATGCTGAATCTAACCATGAATTTAGATTTTTTATTTGTGAGCCCGCTATCAAATTGGTTCATATTGAGGTCAAAAGGGTCCAAAATTAAACTTTGTTTGATTTCATCAAAAATTGAATTATTGGGGTTCTTTGATATTCCAAATCTAACCGTGTATTTAGATTTTTAATTTTAAGTCCCGTTTTTTAAATTGGTCTACATTAAGGTCCAAAGGGTCCAAAATTAAACTTAGTTTGATTTTAGCAAAAATTGAATTCTTGGGGTTCTTTGATATGCTGAATCTAAACATGTGTTTAGATTTTTGATTATGGGCCCAGTTTTCAAGTTTGTCCAAGTTGGGGTCCAAAATTAAACTGTTTGATTTTAACAAAAATTTAATATATGCGGTTCTTTGATATGCTGAATCTAACCATGTATTTTGATTTTGGACATTGGACCATAATAGGTAAATTAAAAAAATTCAAGTTCTTAGACTACATTCTTTCTGTGTCAGAAACCTATGCTGTGTCAAATATTTAATAACAATCCAAATTCAGAGCTGTATCAAGCTTGAATGTTGTGTCCATACTTGCCCCAACTGTTCAGGGTTCGACCTCTGCGGTCGTATCAAGCTGCGCCCCAGCGAAGCATTTTATTCATCTGGATTTTCAACCCAGTATGTATTACATTGACAGGTTATTTGGACCAAGAAAAAAGTTGACCAATGCAATAGCCAGATGGCACAGTCAAGCACCTATGGCTATAAGTAACCAGTTAGAACAGGCCTATGCAGATAGGCTGGAGGGACAATTGCAAGAAATGGCTGTGCAGTTACATAAGGTATTACTATTTGAATTGTTTCACATTTGTCATTCATGTCGGGGCATTTTATAGCTGACTATAGGTATAGGGTTTTCTCATTGTTTTGAATAAAATCCAATGATTGCTCCTATTTATTGAAAGGAGCTCAAAGAACATTCTTTGTTGATTTCAAATTGTCTCAAAAGACAGTATCCAGAGCAAAAGGACATGGTTCACTTTAGGCCAAATATGACCTTGAAATTCCACTTTATCATAAAATATCAAAATGGACATAATTTGGTTCTTAAATGGATCTATTTCAAAAGCCTTACTACAAGTTTAAACAAATCTCTTCTATAGAGTACATTCTGTGCTTCAAAGGCAGCATATTTTGGATAAATTGTCAAAAAAAGATGATTTTGTGCATTTTTGGACCTACTTTCTTGATCAGGGGTGGCGGCCAAAGTAAATTACGTTAAAACTGTTTAGAATTACTGATAATTTGACCAAAACTGACATTACAACACAAATAGTGCATACTTTAGCGGTAATTTCTTTGTCATTTTTTAATGTGATGTGCCAAAAAGGAGTTATTTTGTATTAATAGTTATATCACAAGTATTTCTATGTGAAATTTGTAGTATTTTGGTCTATTTAAAAAGAAACATGAAATTGTTAGGGCTAATTTTAACCCTTCATGAACTTACTCCTTTGGAAAATATTTTTTTTCTACATTTTTGTCGAGCCTGCGACTTTTGTTCCAGAAAGCACGACATAGGGATAGTGATCCGGCTACGGCGGCGGCGGCGTTAGCTAACTTTTTAAAAGCTTTATATTTTAGAAGCTAGAAGACCTGGATGCTTCATACTTTGTATATAGATGCCTTATGTTACGAAGTTTCCGTCTGTCATATGTCCATTGTCCTTGATCTCATTTTCATAGTTCAGTGACCACTTGAAAAAAAAGTCAACATTTTTTGTGATGTTAATTTCTTTCTTATTATGAGTAATAGGATAACTATATTTAGTATGTGCATACCTTGCAAGGTCCTCATGCCTGTCAGACAATTTTCATTTGACATCGACCTCATTTCATGGATCAGTGAACAAGGTTAAGTTTTCGTGGTCAAGTCCATATATCAGATACTATAAGCAGTAGGTCTACTATATTTGATATTTGGAATGATTGTAAGGTGTAGATGTCCAACTGGTAGGTGTCATCTGACCTTGACCTCATTTTCATGGTTCAGTGGTCAAAGTTAAGTTTTTGAGTTTTGGTCTTTTTTTCTAATACTATATGCAATAGGTCAACTATATTTGGTGTATGGAATTATTTTATGATGTACATGTCAGTCTCGCAGGTTTTATTTGACCTTGACCTCATTTTCACGGTTCATTTCTCAGTGTTAAGTTTTTATGTTTTGGTCTGTTTTTCTTCAACTATAAGCAGTAGATCAACTGTATTTGTTGTATGGAAGGATTGTAAGGTGTATATGTCTGTCTGGCAGGTATCATCTGACCTCAACCTCATTTTCACGGTTCATTTCTCAGTGTTAAGTTTTTGTGTTTTGGTCTGTTTTTCTTAAACTATAAGCAATTGATCAACTGTATTTGTTGTATGGAAGGATTGTAAGGTGTATATGTCTGTCTGGCAAGTATCATCTGACCTTGACCTCATTTTCATGGTTCATTGGTCGATGTTAAGTTTTCATGGTTAAGTTTGTTTCTTAGATACTATAAGCAATAGGTCAACTATATTTAATGCATAAATTAATTGTAAGGTGTACATGTCTGTCTGGCATGGTTCATCTGACCTTGACCTCATTTTCACGGTTCATTGGTCAATGTTAAGTTTTCTTGGTTAAGACTGTTTCTTAGAAACTATAAGCAATAGGTCAACTATGTTTGGTTTATTGGATGATTGTAAGGTGTACATGTATTTCTCTATTGGTTTATCTGACCTTGACCTCATTTACTTGGATCATGTTAAGTTTATGTGTTACTTGCAGTAAAGCTTCATATTTAGGACTATCAACATAAAATCAATGGTTAGTAAAGAAGGCGAGGCATTTCAGCGTGTGCACTCTTGTTTCAGTATTTTACTGGTAAATGGATTATGTTTTTTTCACAGTGAATATTATAATACTGTCTATGGTTAAAGTTTTTCAGACAGCAATAACTTTGTCAAACCTTCATTGAATTTTGCAAAACTTTGACAGATGCTTCTTCATGATCAATGACAGTATCCAGAGCAAAATTTTGCAAACATTTTTTTCATTTTTCCATTTCACTGATAAAAGGTCTTAGTTTTTTTTGCAGTTAACATTTTGACACAGTTTGGGGTTAAAGTTTTTTAAACATCAGTAACTTCGAAGTTTATGAAACTTTGGCAGAAGCTTTGTTATGATTATGAGATTATGTCTGATGCTCAATTTTGAAAATATTTTTATTCCTTTTTCCATTTTTGACTAATAAATGGACTTTTTTTGCGGGGCCTTGGTGACCAAGTCATCTAAATTGTCCAACAATTACACCTCTAGCCTGTCAATACTGAGGTTATATGTTTAAACCATGCATGTGGCAGGTGCATTCGGCTCCAATCTTAATTTACTAGGATTGTCAGTTTTCCTGCCCAAGATGGATGATTCTCTTTGGCTTCCTCCACCAATAAAAACTGACCGCCACGAAATAGCTAACAGTGCTAAAAATGGCGTTAAACACCAATCAATTAATCAATCAATATTTTTTTTTTGCAGTTGACATTCACATACAGTCTCAAATTTTTAGAACATCAATAACTTTGTAAAACCTTCAAGAATGTTATGAAACTTGAACAAAAGCTTCTTCAAGATCAAGAAATAGCATCTGAAGAAGAAAGTTTGATTTTTGTAAAAACAATTATGTATTTTACTAATTAATGGACTTAAATTTTTGGCAGTCATCATTACACATTTATGCTGACAGCAGCAATATGAGTCTAGACACAGGGTTTGCAGAACCCTTTACAAATTTTTTCATCACATAAGCTATGAATTTTATGGTTTAGTTTTATTGTTGTAGGCTTATGAGCAAGTAGAGACGGTGAAAGCTCAGGTTTTACAAGAACAACAGATTCGTAGTGTGACAGAGACGTGTTTAACTGAAGAAAGAGCTGTCTGGCATCATGTTCAGAGACTTATAGTAGATACTCGCAAAAAATGTGAAGAAATGAAAGAGTCTTTACGGAAATTAAAGTAGGTTACAGATAAAGATATCAGATCTCCTTGTTTGTTTGAAGTTTTCAAATTGTAGCTTGAAGTAAGAGTATCTCACACTGAATTGAAATCTCAAAACAATTTGTTCTATTTGGCAATAGTCTTTCAAAGGGCTAAATGCTCTTTATGTGATATTTTATTTATATAAAGAACTGATTGTTTACACCAAAAAAGTGCCATTGTCTTTTAAAATTATGATGTATAAAACATTGACTGTTTAAACAATAAAGGGTCATTATCCAGTGTTCTAGCTAGGCTTTCAGGGCAGAGGGGTACAGTTTTAAGATGAAGGGCATGTAAGTGTGGTTTCTTGTCTAAAAATGGACAACTTGATCATGCTCAATGATAAAAAAAAATTGAAATAATTGAATAAATTGAACCAAATTTTCACAGTACTTGGTGGTTTGAAAAAACTTTTCATGTAAAACTATTTTCTTGCATTGAAAAGTAATTGTTTTCCTTCAGAAACAGATTTATGAATGAATAAAGATTTATTACATATAAGAATTAAATTGTAGAATGTGAAAATTACTGTTTTTATTATAAAAAGAGAAAAGTTTAGAATAATTATTACAAAGTAACATGGACCCAAAAAATGTACAAATTTAATTATGATTTAAAATTTTAAATTCATTTGAATAGATGCTATACTCCTTCTTTCAGACATATTCAATGTGATATAAAAGCCAAACTTTTACCTGATTGGAGGGATGACAAGAAATCTCAACAATTAGTGAAAAGTGATATAAATTCTAGTGACCAAAGTGCAATAAGAGACAACATTTCATTGGATGACAGAAGTAGAACTTCAACCAATGACAGGGCAAATACTGAACTGTTGATAAAGAAAACAGAACAGTATACTAAAGAACTTCAAAAATGTATATCATCAGTTACCATGACAACAGATAGATTACTTGGAAGAACTTCACAAAATAGGGATGGAGGATATACATGACATATCCCCATATGTTTAAAGGGTAATTAGACATCTTAAGAGAGGGGGTTCTGTTTAATCTCTGTCTTTTTATGTCTTTGTATCTGTCTTCATTACCTACTTTCTTTCTCATTTTTGTTATCTTGTACATCACATTTTGATGACCTTACGTATATCAGCTTATGTATCTAGGTTAAGTGTACTGTGTAGTGAGAGGTAAATGATATATCGTTAAACAGTTGTATCCATCATAGTTATACAGGTTATGTGTAATTTGTTTTTAAGTAGGAGCCACTTACAATGGGTATTATTCCTTAAATATTTGGAATAGTGTTTCATTTAATACATTAGGTGTTCCCATTTTTATGCCCCCGCCGTAGCGGAGGGGGTATTAAGTTTTACCCTTGTCCGTCTGTACGTACGTCAGTCTGTACGTCCCAAAATTGGTTTCCGTTCTCTAACTTGAGTTTGCCTCAACCAAATGTTATGAACATATACACAATGCTTATTACCACAAAACACAGATCAAGTGTGAATTTTGGTGGCGTCACTTTAACCGTTCTAGAGTTATGCCTCTTTATAAATGGAAAAATTGCAAAATTTTTAGTTTCCGTTCTCTAACTTAAGTTTGCCTCAACCAAATGTTATGAAACTTATACACAATGCTTATTACCACAAAACACAGATCAGGTTTGAATTTTGGTGGCGTCACTTAACCTGTTCTAGAGTTATGCCCCTTTATAATGGAAAAATTACTAAATTTTTAGTTTCTGTTCTCTAACTTAAGTTTGCCTCAACCAAATGTTATGAAACTTATACACAATGCTTATTATCACAAAATACAGATCAAGGGTAAATTTTGGTGGCGTCACTCAAACCTTTCTACAGTAATGCCCCTTTATAAATGGGAAAATTGCAAAACTTTTAGTTTCCGTTCTCTAACTTAAGTTTGCCCCAACCAAATGTTATGAAACTTATACACAATGCTTATTACCACAAAACACAGATCAAGTTCAAATTTGGGTAGCGTCACTTTTACCGTTCTTCAGTTATGTCCCTTTATAACTATATGATTTTAAAGCGGGGGCATCATCTGTGTCCACATGTGGACACAATCCACATTTATTATTAATGCTGCAATGTCACAGCCACTCAATCCTGCTTTATTTTACTCTAAACTTTTATGTTCTGAAATAGATCACATATTAATTTTCTGATAAGGTCTGTTGAAGAAAAGTTTTTATGATAGGATGCTGATATTTGGAAACTTTTTGCAAGATGATGCCTTATCATTTCTAAGTAGACGAAAAGTCCTAATCACAAGTCATATTTAAGTGTTTTCAAATAAATAGTACTATGTGAATTGAAAAATGTACTTTGCAAGGGATTTGCATCCTGCATATATGCACATACTCTCATAGACAATTTGTTGTTTTAAGATTTTGTAGACGAAAAGGCAAGATAAACCTGTGTTAGTAATACATAACACTGACATAAATGAAATTTTTATATATACCCATTTATTGCTTTTTTAAGGGTTTTTTTATACTTTTTTTACAGAATAATCAAAATGGTTGTCAGGTGATTATTTTCTAACCCTCTCAATGTTGTTGTTGTATAATGCTCACCTTAAATGTTGGAGGTTGTGGGTCAAACTAATAAGGACTTGGTATTCTTTATTCATTTGATATTTGCTGCTTTACATTTAAACACACTGTTAGATTTAAAAAAAGTTCCAATATGTCATTCCAGAGTTATGGAACTTTGACGGTCAAATAAATAAAAGGCATTTATTAAATATCACGCAATAGCTCTTGTATGCTTGGATCAAATTACTACATATGTAATGAAGTCAGTAAATGGATAAATGAATTTTATTATGTAATTACAAAGTCAAGAATGTTTCTAAAGTTCAAATGTTCAAATGTTCACAAATTGTCTCCAAAGTTAAAATGTTCGAAAGTTCAATAAATTGTCATACTGACATGTGATCGTATAGTGGTATAACTGTTCAGTCCTGATGGAGTACATTCGGATATTAAGTGCATTAGTTCCAGCCTACCCACGAGGGGGAAGACTTGATGGAATCTGCAGTTTTAGTCCAAAGCTGGATCTAATATAGTTCAGAGGGTCATCAATCAGCTTTCAACAATAGCCCATAACTGTCGGTAGTTTATAGAGTAGTCTAGCTATTAAATAATACATGTACTAGGTCAAGCCGTGGACAATGCTATTAACATCTGCACAATGCAATTAATGTCTGCAGAATACATGTACAATACATGTCTGCGAGGTACATGTACTTGTATCAATTATGTTAGACTGGAATACACCTTGTTTAATATTGTACTCCCCCCAATTGTGTAACACAAACGTAATACTGTTGGTTAGGATTGATAAATGTAGACTCGCTTTTGATTTTGAAATTTTCTGGTTTGTCGTTCCAGAGTTATGGGACTTTTAACAGTCATATTTGATGCAATATTTATATGCCTAAGAGTATCCTCATGCATATTTTTCTACAGAGCCGTTTTATTGCTTCTGGTTAAATGCCTTCTTAATATCCCATTTTGTTCTTGCAACAATTTCATTATGTACAATAAGGAAGCATCATGGGATGTTGGTGTAGCTGCTTATTATTTGTGGTTAATGTTTCCAGGTGTGTTACATACCATAGACAATACATTTTTTGAGGAAAAAGTTGTTGAAAAATAAGAAAAAACTCTTGCAATTAGATATTATCTATCAGGTAATGTGTTTTGAACATATTTCTGTTTTTGAGTGCAATTATTGCATAGTATTGATCTGTGTTGATTCCATATAAAACTGATTGGCTGTTGTAACAAGAGTCTTTGTAAACATTGACACTAAAATAGCAGATGAGATAAATTTTTATCTTTATCACAAAGTCCAATATACTTTATACATTCTTGCAAGTTGTCATATCTCAGAGCAATTTTCTTTTCTTTTTTACATTTTTGATTTAACCTATATCAATTTGGTAACTCTTAGATTGAATTGTCTGCTTGCAAGAAAAATTAAATGACATAGGCCCATTTTTATCATCACATGTTAAACTAGCCGTCCATCTTGTTTTGTTATCTTATTTACTTTTTAGTATTATATCTTTTATATATTTTAATATTACAGTTTAATGGGTTTAAAAATCCATTGTTAGAAAAAAAGAATGCATGACTTTTTTCACTGAAGAAAATTTTTTGAAGATACACATTTTATTACATGTATCTCATTTTCAACTCTTCAATCATGCTTCACTGTATATGAAGCAAATACCTTGTTAAATGTTGAATTTTATTATCAAGTTAGTTTTTGTTGACTAACTGAGGGATATCCACTGCTAAATATGTGTAATCCTATGGCTGTGTATCTACAAATGGTATTTCATTTGCTTCAAAGAGGGCAAGACATAATCTATCTGTTAACAGTTTTAGAAGCTTTTATTATTTATACATGTTTTATTAGATTGAAAATTATTTTCATCTTTATCAATATACTATTCTAATGTTGTGAATATATTTAAAGATACTAGAAGTAATCATTTTGTGCAAATTGCAATACGGCATAATTTTTAATTCAGCAGTTTCAGTCTTCAGAAAACCGCATTTTAATCTCTTGCAAAGAAATTTGTTTTAATTCAAAAAAAAATAATGTAAACAGTTATTACCCTTAACATTACACTCTAAAAATATATATATATATTATTAATTCGTATTTTTTAACTAATTTGATTCGTTTAGAGATAGTCACATGATAAACTATATTTTCGAAGGTAGAGAGAAAACGGCGGATAGCAAAAAGCATATTGCACAGCAAAAAGCATATTGCACGGTTATTTTTAGAATATCTAAAAACCGATATACTTTGTGACGTCATGTAATGAATTTCATGATATTGTTAAAAGTTTTATAAAAAAAATATCTATGATCGATTATTTGAAGAAAAAAAATCTTCATATACATAAGATGTAAAAAGGTAAATGAAATAACAACTTATATGTTATTGTCTAGGAGACAATATGATATCTATAAAATTCCAACAAAATCAAAAAATCAAATCAGGATTTTGATACAAATATGGTCGGAAATTAATAATATAACAATTATAGCCTATTGATGAGGTCAATACAGGATATATCGACCCAAAGAAGTATATCGACCTCGGACTTCGTCCTCAGTCAATATACTTCTTTCAGGTCAATATATCCTTGTATCGACCTCATACAAAGGCTATAATTGTATAATATATATAACCTACATGCAATAAAACACTTAATAATTTTTTTGTTAATCATGTAATTAAATGCTCCAATTAGACCATGACATCTTTTTGTATTGTAACCTTGCCAGACTATAGTACACAGAATACACAAACAGAATATGTTTTTTGTATGATGCATTTTTAAACCAGTGTTCCTGTTAATGTGTTATTGTTTATTATGTAGAATGTTGAATAAAAAGATTAGTGAAAAAACAATTTTTGAAACCATTGTTTAATTTAATGCATTTTTACCAACTGAAACAGAATTTAGGAACATATTACTAGTGGTAAGTTCCCTGTTCATGCTTGTGGCAGTATCACCTTCAGATCTTTTGACCATCCTCTCATATATTTTGTATTCTGTTTGATCATTATTTGGAAACTGATCAAAAAGGATTGATAGTCCATAAGACTTTCATAATGAAATTTTCAGGAAGTCATATGTACCAATAACATTTGGGAAAATGTTTCAGCTCACCTGGCCCTATTAGGGAAAGGTAGAAAATTTAAACAGGAAAAATTATCAACAATACAAAAATTTATAATTATATTATTGTGAGGTGAGATATTCATGCTCTTAGGAGCCTCTTGTTTTTAAAATACCTCAACAGATAATTTTATATTGAATATTTATAATACAATCACACTTTTTATATACAATATTCTAGAAGTTATTTTACAAATACTGAGAAAAATCCTATGCCATCCCCTCCCCATCTTTGCCAGAAGAACAGTTGTTACCTTACTTTGAGAGTAGGAGAGGTTTTTTCCATCCCCAGCTGACTCAAACAAAATTCGTATTTGTACTTCATTGTCAGGTACACAGCATTAAGGAGTGAGAGCAAAGACTGGTTGACTCAAAGACAAGAATGATGTGTCTTGTTAGGGTGACAGCTCTTCCTGCATACTGTTAAACAAGTTTGTTAAAGATCTGGCTCATTGTGAAGGGTTGTCTCAAAAACAAGAATAATGTGTCTTGGTGAAGTGACAGCTCTTCCTGCATACTGTTAAACAAGTTTGTTAAAGATCTGACTCATTGTGAAGGGTTGGCTCAAAGACAAGAATAATGTGTCTTGGTGGTGTGACAGCTCTTCCTGCATACTGTTAAACAAGTTTGTTAAAGATCTGACTCATTGTGAAGGGTTGGCTCAAAGACAAGTATAATGTGTCTTGGTGGTGTGACAGCTCTTCCTGCATACTGTTAAACAAGTTTGTTAAAGATCTGGATCATTGTGAAGGGTTGGCTCAAAGACAAGAATAATGTGTCTTGGTGGGGTGACAGCTCTTCCTGCATACAGTTAAACAAGTTTGTTAAAGATCGGCTCATTGTGAAGGGTTGGCTCAAAGACAAGAATAATGTGTCTTGGTGGAGTGACAGTTCTTCCTGCATACTGTTAAACAAGTTTGTTAAAGATCTGGCTCATTGTGAAGGGTTGGCTCAAAGACAAGAATAATGTGTCTTGGTGGTGTGACAGCTCTTGCTGCATACTGTTAAACAAGTTTGTTAAAGATCTGGCTCATTGTGAAGGGTTGGCTCAAAGACAAGAATAATGTGTCTTGGTGGTGTGACAGCTCTTGCTGCGTACTCTTAAACAAGTTTGTTAAAGATCTGGCTCATTGTGAAGGGTTGTCTCAAAAACAAGAATAATGTGTCTTGGTGGTGTGACAGCTCTTGCTGCATACTGTTAAACAAGTTTGTTAAAGATCTGGCTCATTGTGAAGGGTTGTCTCAAAAACAAGAATAATGTGTCTTGGTGAAGTGACAGCTCTTCCTGCATACTGTTAATCAAGTTTGTTAAAGATCTGACTCATTGTGAAGGGTTGGCTCAAAGACAAGAATAATGTGTCTTGGTGGTGTGACAGCTCTTCCTGCATACTGTTAAACAAGTTTGTTAAAGATCTGGATCATTGTGAAGGGTTGGCTCAAAGACAAGAATAATGTGTCTTGGTGGGGTGACAGCTCTTCCTGCATACAGTTAAACAAGTTTGTTAAAGATCGGCTCATTGTGAAGGGTTGGCTCAAAGACAAGAATAATGTGTCTTGGTGGAGTGACAGTTCTTCCTGCATACTGTTAAACAAGTTTGTTAAAGATCTGGCTCATTGTGAAGGGTTGGCTCAAAGACAAGAATAATGTGTCTTGGTGGTGTGACAGCTCTTGCTGCATACTGTTAAACAAGTTTGTTAAAGATCTGGCTCATTGTGAAGGGTTGTCTCAAAAACAAGAATAATGTGTCTTGGTGGGGTGACAGCTCTTCCTTCATATTGTTAAACAAGTTTGTTAAAGATCTGGCTCACTGTGACGGGTTGGCTCAAAGACGAGAATAATGTGTCTTGGTGAAGTGACAGCTCTTTCTGCATACTGTTAAACAAGTTTGTTAAAGATCTGGATCATTGTGAAGGGTTGGCTCAAAGACAAGAATAATGTGTCTTGGTGGGGTGACAGCTCTTCCTGCATACTGTTAATCAAGTTTGTTAAAGATCTGGCTCATTGTGAAGGGTTGGCTCAAAGACAAGAATAATGTGTCTTGGTGGGGTGACAGCTCTTCCTGCATACAGTTAAACAAGTTTGTTAAAGATCTGACTCATTGTGAAGGGTTGGCTCAAAGACAAGAATAATGTGTCTTGGTGGGTTGACAGCTCTTCCTGCATACTGTTAATCAAGTTTGTTAAAGATCTGGCTCATTGTGAAGGGTTGGCTCAAAGACAAGAATAATGTGTCTTGGTTGGGTGACAGCTCTTCCTGCATACTGTTAATCAAGTTTGTTAAAGATCTGACTCATTGTGAAGGGTTGGCTCAAAGACAAGAATAATGTGTCTTGGCGGGTTGACAGCTCTTCCTGCATACTGTTAATCAAGTTTGTTAAAGATCTGACTCATTGTGAAGGGTTGGCTCAAAGACAAGAATAATGTGTCTTGGTGGGTTGACAGCTCTTCCTGCATACTGTTAATCAAGTTTGTTAAAGATCTGGCTCATTGTGAAGGGTTGGCTCAAAGACAAGAATAATGTGTCTTGGTGGGGTGACAGCTCTTCCTGCATACTGTTAATCAAGTTTGTTAAAGATCTGACTCATTGTGAAGGGTTGGCTCAAAAACAAGAATAATGTGTCTTGGTGGGGTGACAGCTCTTCCTTCATACTGTTAAACAAGTTTGTTAAAGATCTGGATCATTGTGAAGGGTTGGCTCAAAGACAAGAATAATGTGTCTTGGTGGTGTGACAACTCTTCCTGCATACTGTTAAACAAGTTTGATAAAGATCTGGCTCATTGTGAAGGGTTGGCTCAAAGACAAGAATAATGTGTCTTGGTGGTGTGACAGCTCTTGCTGCATACTGTTAAACAAGTTTGTTAAAGATCTGGCTCATTGTGAAGGGTTGGCTCAAAGACAAGAATAATGTGTCTTGGTGGTGTGACAGCTCTTGTTGCGTACTCTTAAACAAGTTTGTTAAAGATCTGGCTCATTGTGAAGGGTTGTCTCAAAAACAAGAATAATGTGTCTTGGTGGGGTGACAGCTCTTCCTTCATATTGTTAAACAAGTTTGTTAAAGATCTGGCTCACTGTGACGGGTTGGCTCAAAGACGAGAATAATGTGTCTTGGTGAAGTGACAGCTCTTCCTGCATACTGTTAAACAAGTTTGTTAAAGATCTGGATCATTGTGAAGGGTTGGCTCAAAGACAAGAATAATGTGTCTTGGTGGGGTGACAGCTCTTCCTGCATACTGTTAATCAAGTTTGTTAAAGATCTGGCTCATTGTGAAGGGTTGGCTCAAAGACAAGAATAATGTGTCTTGGTGGGGTGACAGCTCTTCCTGCATACAGTTAAACAAGTTTGTTAAAGATCTGACTCATTGTGAAGGGTTGGCTCAAAGACAAGAATAATGTGTCTTGGTGGGTTGACAGCTCTTCCTGCATACTGTTAATCAAGTTTGTTAAAGATCTGGCTCATTGTGAAGGGTTGGCTCAAAGACAAGAATAATGTGTCTTGGTGGGGTGACAGCTCTTCCTGCATACTGTTAATCAAGTTTGTTAAAGATCTGACTCATTGTGAAGGGTTGGCTCAAAGACAAGAATAATGTGTCTTGGCGGGTTGACAGCTCTTCCTGCATACTGTTAATCAAGTTTGTTAAAGATCTGACTCATTGTGAAGGGTTGGCTCAAAGACAAGAATAATGTGTCTTGGTGGGTTGACAGCTCTTCCTGCATACTGTTAATCAAGTTTGTTAAAGATCTGGATCATTGTGAAGGGTTGGCTCAAAGACAAGAATAATGTGTCTTGGTGGGGTGACAGCTCTTCCTGCATACTGTTAATCAAGTTTGTTAAAGATCTGGCTCATTGTGAAGGGTTGGCTCAAAGACAAGAATAATGTGTCTTGGTGGGGTGACAGCTCTTCCTGCATACAGTTAAACAAGTTTGTTAAAGATCTGACTCATTGTGAA